CACTGATAGAATTCTATAAGTCCATATGTGTATATGGCATTGTGTTTATGTTGTTGTTCTCACTAGAAAAAAAAATGTTTTTTAAACTGGAAAATTATCAGAAATATTTATACAACAATGTGATGAAAGGGACCACAAGGGATAATCAAAGTATTACAATGCTTTCAAATATTCATGTAAACAAATTAATATGCAGATGCTAATGTTCGTCATTGTGTTATCTCACAAATTTTTGCTTGTTGTTGACATGCGTAAATCTTGCTGGTTGTATGCAAGTTAAGAGTTATTTGTTCTTTGCATGTTTTGCTCTTAATTCATCTCATTTTGTGAAGGCACAGCACTGACACTTTCTTTCTTTATAAATTTTTATCCAGTTTCTTTTGTTCAATATTTCAACCTTTCCAGTGTCCTGCGCTGAAAAATTGCACCTTGGGCAACCAATGTTGTTTTAGTTAAGTCTTTGAGACTCAATAAAATAATAAAATTTCTTGTTTGTCTGAAATTTTTTCATTACAATGTTATCTGGTTCATATGTTGTTTGATTGTTTCTATCATTAGGTTATCTGGTTCATATGTTTGTGATTGTTTTCATTACTAGGTTATCTTGTTTATATGTTGTTTGTGATTGTTTCCATTACTAGGTTATCTGGTTCATATGTTGTTTGTTTCTATCATTGGGTTATCTGGTTCTGATGTTTGTGATTGTTTCCATTACTAGGTTATCTGGTTTATATGTTTGTGATTGTTTCCATTACTAGGTTATCTGGTTCATATGTTGTTTGTGATTGTTTTAATTACTAGGTTATCTGGTTGATATGTTGTTTGTGATTGTTTTAATTACTAGGTTATCTGGTTGATATGTTGTTTGTGATTGTTTCCATTACTAGGTTATCTGGTTGATATGTTGTTTGTGATTGTTTTAATTACTAGGTTATCTGGTTGATATGTTGTTTGTGATTGTTTCCATTACTAGGTTATCTGGTTCACATGTTGTTTGTGATTTGTTTCCATCACTAGGTTATCTGGTTCATATGTTGTTTTTGATCATTTCCATTACTAAATTATCACCTGGTTCATGTGTTGTTTGTGATTGTTTCCATTGTTAGGTTATGTAAAACACCTGGTTCATATGTTGCTTGTGATTGATTCCATTACTAGGTTATTGTCTGGTTCATATGTTTGTGATTGTTTCCATGACTAGGTTATCACATGGTTCATATGTTGTTTGTGATTGTTTCCCATACTAGGTTATTGTCTGTGATTGTTTCATCACTAGGTTATCTGGTTTATATGTTGTTTGTGATTGTTTCCATTACTAGGTTATCTGATTTATATGTTTGTGATTGTTTCCATTACTAGGTTATCATTTGGTTCATATGTTGTTTGTGATTATTTCCATTACTAGGTTATATGGTTCATATATTTGTAATTGTTTCCATCACTAGGTTATCGTCTGTGATTGTTTCTATTACTAGGTTATCAATCATCTGGTTCATATGTTGTTTGTGATTTTTCTTCCATTACTAGGTTATTGTCTGTGATTGTTTCATCACTAGGTATATGGTTTATAGGTTGTTTGTGATTGTTTCCATTACTAGGTTATCACATGGTTTATGTGTTGTTTGTGATTGTTTCCACTACTAGGTTATCTGGTTCATATGTTGTTTGTGATTGTTTCCATTACTAGGTTATCTGGTTCATATGTTGTTTGTGATTGTTTCCATCACTAGGTTATCTGGTTCATATGTTGTTTGTGATTGTTTCGATTACTAGGTTATCTGGTTCATATGTTGTTTGTGATTGTTTCCATCACTAGGTTATCTGGTTCATATGTTGTTTGTGATTGTTTCCATTACTAGGTTATCTGGTTCATATGTTGTTTGTGATTGTTTCCATTACTAGGTTATCATCTGGTACATATGTTGTTTGTGATTGTTTCCACTATTAGGTTATCTGGTTCATATGTTGTTTATGATTGTTTCCATTACTAGGTTATCTGGTTCATGTTTTTTGTGATTGTTTCCATCACTAGGTTATCTGGTTCATATGTTGTTTATGATTGTTTCCATCACTAGGTTGTCTGGTTCATATGTTGTGTGTCATTGTTTCCATTACTAGATTATCACATGGTTCATATGTTGTTTGTGGATTCTCAAGAGAGAAAAAAACAACACAATTTTACATAGATCACTACTAAATTTTTAAGAATATTTATTTATGTTAAATATTTTTTTTAAAATCTACATTTCAAAATATATAAAGATATGTAACAGGCTCATTTGGAAATGAATAAACGGCGCAGAAGCAGGTCATCATAGTCTGGACAACGTGGTGCAGCAATGAGTGACTGGCAGATCTGACTCCCAATCAACCCTCAGAGAATAGGCAAGACAGACAAACAATGAGAATGCTTCTGGTACTGCTGGAGAGTACTGAGGTGACCGTGTGGGCTGCAGATCTTTAATTACCAAGAATAGGCATTATTTCTAACATACAAGCAAGTACTCAGTGCATACATTGTTCTTCTTTGCATTCACCAGCTGTAACCTTCAGTGGAAAGTTGTGGTTGTTCATTCCCTTCTGGAATTTAATCATGTTCCAGAACTTCTTAGCGCTCACCGGCTGTGAGCTCCAATGGAAAGTTCTGGTTGTTCATCCACTGCTGGACTTCGGTCTTGATCCAGAACTTGAGTTTTGCATGCACTTCTTTTTGACAGATCTGGCTTATCTGTATGCAGGTAAATGGTTCCTCGTCTTTCAGGCAAATTCACTTCGACCTCGAAGCGAAGGGAACACAGTTTATTAAAGTTGCAACAACCTCTCAATTGCCTGTCTCCCAAAACAGAAAACTTCACTTGTTCAACTTTGTTATACGCTTTGCTTATTATAACTTTAATTCCAGTGGTCTCTTTTTGTTGTAACAGATGGCGGTCATGGGCATCTTTGACAGCAGCCCTGAAAAATGTACAGCATGTAAAATCTTTTCCACAGTTATCTCGAATGTTTCCTTTCAAGCACAGGTCCACTGCTGCAGCTCTGATCATCAATGCAGTTGCTGTCCCAGCATAGGACGCAGTTTTTCATTATTTTGAAGCCCTACTCCAGCTGCTGTTGGGGGGAGGGGCCTAATGTAACCTAGCGGTTGAAAAGATTTCTGGGGGTTGTGCCCGGGTGATTCTTCATCTGAATGGTAGCACTCTTGTGTCACCGGGTGGTTATTGCTTGTTGTGCGGTCCTGGTGGAGATGAACTTCATTCATTCAGCTCTGGTCACGTCAGGAGACACTTCAAGTATGCTTTTAGCTGTTTCTTGTAAGACAAGCTTGCAAGCACAATTTTTGACCCGTTGAAAATAAAGTTTGTTCATTCATTTGTTCTTTAGGAAGTCGACATCAGTGGGGGTTGTTTTAAACATGCACGTCCAAGTAAAACGGGATGTATTGTTTCGCTGACAACTAAACAAACACAAAAACAAATGTAGATAGCAGCTTATCTGATGTCACAAGACTACAGTTTCCAGCTGAGACATCTTTTGATTCTCATCCTTGGTGTGTTAATTCTACAGTTCAAGAATAGAAACAAAAATGCCACCTACCTTACCCCCATTACATCATCAGGCAGACCTTTTTAGTGGCCCATGCGGACTTTCCAGCAGCCCACCAGTTAAAGAATACTGGTCTACATCATCATCATGTGTCATGTCCACAGGCACAGGCTGTCATGTTCCGCCATCTCATGTTCATCAGAACTACGGATCTGGTCGGCATCTTTGTCTTACTCCATCCATATGGCTAAGTCGCCTAAGTATTTACTTCTTTAGCTTCCCTTGTATTACTCTTTCAATCTTCTTCTCCAGGTTCACCAAATTTGAACTTCGGCGGAAAGCTCTGGTTATTCATCCACTTCTGGACTCTAGTCCTGTTCTAGAAGCTGAGTGTTGCGTGCACATCCATTTCACATGTTGACTCATTTGCAAGCAGACTGTTGGTTCCTTGCCTCTTAGGCAGATGAACTCCGATTTTGAAGGAAGCTCCCATTTAGTTGACTCTTACGACATGCTTTCGGACAGGCAGTGGGTCTATTCTTGTTTTTCCCCACAATGGGGCCCCGGAAACCACACGGGGAACTCTTTCAATCAATCTTGCTAGTCACTACCAAGTTCTCATATCTTTTTTTTCTCACAACTTCTTGTCTAAAAACACAGTTTATGTCTAAGTGCTCTAATCAGCTAACAGTTTTAGTCTATCTTGAGAAAGACTGCACTGTTTGTTTTTGTATCATTCCATGTTATGTGAGTTCATAGAGGTAACCCACCTGATGGTCTGACCTGAGTATACGAAACTGAACACAAAAAAGAATTAGAAGATAATAATTTCATGTTATTCTTTGCATTCTTCTCAAAAACTACATCTCAACTGCAAGCAACAAAATTTTTAAGCTTGTCTGCTTATTGTTTGTGTTTCACATGCATATAAAAACACAGGTTAAAAAAATATACTGTTGCTACTGTCTGTAGGTACCACTTCTTAGGGCAATGTAGACAGGGGTCGTAAGCCAGAGGATTTAGGATCGCATGGCTAGTGCTGTCATCATGCACTATACAGGTTAGAATGTTTAAATTTGACTCCGACAGAAAAACTTGACATTGTAACCATTCGGCCAGCAGCTCCTACACAGGTTCAATACAGCACTTTAGCACTCTTTTTTTCTCACCGCAGCTGACTAATTTTGCTAGTCTATTGACCCTTAAACAAAAACACCAGCCCTCTCAATCATATAATAAAAGTTTTCATTTATACAACCACTTTACACTCTAAACAATGCAGACTGAAAGACTGATTATTACAAAATAATCCTTACAAAATAGCCCTACAGATATTCCAAATGATGGAAAAACATGTGAGGTTAAACAGACACTACAACTTCAAGAGTACTGTATCAGGCATTTCCTCTGCTGTTGTGGTCATGCAGATCCTGGGTACTCATGCAGATCCTGGGTACTCATGCAGATCCTGGGTACTCAAACACTGCAGCCGCTCCCATTCCAGTCCCAATACACATGGACACCACACCGAAAGCTCTGAAACAACAGGATAACATGTGATAAGATTATTTTTGCTGTTTTGAAGAATATTTCTTTTTCTTCTTTTGTTAGTCCATTAAAGGGTTGTTATGTTGTGGTTTACAGCTAGACTGCAATTATCTTGACTTTTAGTCATCACGTCCGATTTCTGCAAACTCTTTAGTTTTTTTGTTTTTTTTTTAAACAAAATAATTATTTGCCCTTTTGCCCTGGCAAAAAATATAGGTCATCTCCATGTTGGAATTGCAGAAAATTTGTTTAAACAATTTTTTTTTTTTTTACATGGGTCACTATAAATTTTCAACAAATTTATTCATCTACGTTTAAAAAATAAATTTTTATAAAGATAAATGAAGGGTGTAATCAATAAACATGAACAGGGTAAAGCATTAAATGGATAAATTTGGACCCCCCAAAAAAATGTATCGGATGTCTAAAGCCATGATCATTTAGGCTCATTTAATGGGACAATCGTATGTCGACTTGGCTTTTAACACACACAAAATTCTTATTATTATTCTGCACTCATCCAAAAAAATTAATAAAAGCTTTTTAGTTCAAAGGAACCTCCCAAATGTTACCTAAGTTACTGTATTAATTTTCATGACCGCCTAAACATTGGTGCAGGTTCCAGTGCAAAGATATTCTAGTTATACTGTCCTTATACATAGGTTGACTGTCCATGATTCACTTCCATATATTAGGACTGGTTCTGTGTAGCATTTAACAGCACTTTCAACTCAGCTTACCGGTCTACTTGAGCTTCTTTAACATACCATTTCCCATGTCGGTTCCAGAGCTCTATTTTGAGAAAAAGGGGGGGGGGGGTGGGAGGAAGAAGAGTTCCACAGCTCAACAAGCATGCTGTAAAAGGCAACTGTTTAGAATTTGGTGAAACTGGATAATTGGGCTGAAAGGTGGAAATGTCACAGCCAAGCTGTAAACTACAACACAACATCCCAACTGCCCTTTTGAGGCCAAATGCAATAGAGGAAAATATTTCTCCGTCTGTTGTCATCAGGGTACCTAAGTACTTAAACCTACTTCAGACTTGTCCAATTTACTTTGACGAATTTTGAAGAACACCCTTTCTTTGTAAGAGACCTTATGTTAATTTGCCCTTGTCAATGTTGGATTAGGAATAGACATTGCAGCACTTGGGACACTCCCATAAGCGCGACGTCCCCATCTTCAGCGGCAAGTGAAGAGCTCCAGTTCCGATGGCACCAGTAACTGTCGGATTGCCTTCGCCTTTGCCAGATCCCCTGGTAACTTTCTTCCTAGACCCTAATGATCTGTCTGTGGATCCATAAACTGTTTACTTGCTCCCAAAGGGCTTTCACAATATCTAGCTTGTCATACATTTTTTTTTTTTTTACGTATCCAGAAACCATGAGTTGTAAACCCTTTGGCTCGGTACTATGGATATCGCAACCCTTCAGCCTTGATTCCATTATAGGCACCGTTAATCTGGGAGAAATGTGGCTTTTCTGCCTACCCCCGGGAGTGAACCCGGACCACAAGGAGTTCGTCACCCGGCCGCCGCGAAAGTCAGGTTTAACCAACTTCGCTAGAGAGCCGGGCAGCTTGTCATACATCAATTTACCACCAAGTGGTGCAGAACTGGCCAGTCTATTTGCCTGCTCATTTCCTAACACACCTTGTGAAATAAATGTCAGTTGGAACTGCGCTAGTGCTCATACCTGGGTCCCCTTCGTTTCAGCTCATGAAGTAGAGTGGCAATCTGCCGAGCTCCTGTGCAACCCAAGGGATGGCCCAATGCAATAGCTCCACCTTTTGGATTCACACGTTCAACTGGGATGCCCACTTTCCGCACACTATACAAAGCCTGGCTAGCAAAGGCTTCATTGATTTCATAGATATCAATGTCATTCACTTTTAGACCTGGAAAAAAAAAAATTTGTGAATGTTTTCAGTTAGAGCATACATGTATATTTATGAATTTTTTTCTTCTTCTGTGAATGTCTGGTTTGTGTCAGCACCTGTTCAACAGATATTATGTAGCCCAACTAGGGCATGCTCTGTTGCTCAATGTATTGTGATGTTGAGATTGACTACTTCAATCCATTTTTTTCTAGGACTTCCTCTGCTTCTTGGTGTTTCCATTGCCTTTTTTGTAAGCTCTGGCTAAGAGCTTGAAAAGAAAGGGATGACCATCAGTATCTCCAAAACTAAAACCATGGTGATCTCAAAAGAGAGGAGAAGAAACACCAGATCATGATGGGACAGTATGCGTTGCAGCAGGTTAACCAGTTCAAATACCTTGGAGTTGTATTAGACTAAAATGGAGGCATTAAGACTGAGCTGGCTACACGAAAAGCAGCTGCTGGGAGACTCTTCCAGGCCATAAACCGAGGGTTTCTTAGCAAAAGAGAAATTGGCAAGAGGACAAAAATGGCTGTTTACTGCTCTACCTATGTACCAGTCCTGACCTATGGCGGGACGACCCAGGGTGCACTGGGAAGACAACATCCGACAGTCCCTAACTGACAGAGGACTGGAATGGAACAAAGCCAGAAAGAAAACTGCTGATAGAGACGTCTGGCGATCTCTCTCTGGCAAACCCCTACACCCCAAGGTAGAAGAGGAGCGACTAAGTAAGTAAGTAAGTAAGCTCTGGCTGCCAGCATCATTACATTTCATTCTTAACGAGTGGCTAAACTATTACAGTCTTGGTTTCTCAATCAATTTAATGAACAATGGGCACTGTTCTAAACACCAACCTCTCATGGGAACAATTAGTAGGACCTTGGACTGGCTGCTGTTTCGAAGGGCCAAACATACATGAGAATGCCCAATGTGCAGTGATGTCGACTGAGATAACACAACATGTTCCAACAATTTTTCTAATATTTTCATTTCTCAATCTCTTCTGGTTTTGTTTTAAGCTTTACTTATACATTTCATTCCACAGGTGGCTAGTTTTCCCTCGTGATCTTTAGTTAATGTCCAAGTCTGATACTGATTACCTAAAATTGCAATAAAGAGTGTATTTGTAATTTTACCCATGTGGGTTCTGAGGCCCAATTTTAAAGGGAATAAAGAAAAGAAGCACCATCCTACTAACATGCCATAAAAGTCAACTAATTAGGGGTGTTTCCTTCTAAGCCAAAGTGCACCGTCCTGAATGTGGTCTTACTAGTCACACACTATATCATCATTGTGTGTGTGTGTGATCCCCATGCCACATGAAAACAAAATATAACACTTTTGTCTGGAGAGACAGAAAGGTGACAATAATCTCTGTTTATTACATGTTCATACATGTGAAGACAAATAAAGCTCACCTGCGTTTTGCAAGGCTAGAGGAATTGCAACAGCTGGTCCAATGCCCATAATATCTGGCGGGCAACCTTTGACAGCAAATGACCGAAATATGCCCAGAATAGGCAGCTGCCTGCGCTCAGCCTCTCGTCGAGTCATTAATAATACTGCTGCAGCACCATCGCTTATTTGGCTTGAATTACCTGTCAAATTAGACAAAATTTCTCACAATCTTCATCTGTTTGTAATTCCAGAGAAATTTGACTAAAAAGCTCAACAAAATGGGAAAGAGGAAAACGTGCAGAAAACAACAAAATGTAACGTTTAGGACGAGCAGCCTTTTTCAGCCCGACCGAAAGGTTACGTTGTGTTGTTTTATGCACGTTTTCCTCTTTCCCATTTTGTTGAGCTTTTTAGTCAAATTTCTCTAGAATTCCTTGTATTAGCTTGACTGCAGTCACCCCCATAGTTTCATCTGTTTGTAGAAGATAAAGAAATGGTTCCAAATTCGTCTTCTGCATTCACCTTTGACCGGGCAGTTGGCACGCTGTATTGCGATTTACAACTAAGCCGCAACACCTGTGCCTTTTTGCCCAATATCAGATTTCAACAAACCTTTAATTAGTACCTTTTACTACAAGACTGTTAAGAGGCAGTGGGTCGATTAATTCCCCCCCCCCCCCTTTCCCAGTCAGACATCAGGGAACAGGCATCCCATTTTCTAGTCACACATCAGGGAATAGGCATCTCATTGTCTAGTCAGACATCAGGAAACAGGCATCCCATTTTCTAGTCAGAGATCAGGGAACAGGCATCCCATTTTCTAGTCAGACATCAGGGAACAGGCATCTCATTTTCTAGTCAGAGATCAATGAACAAGCATTTCATTTTCTAGTCAGAGATCAAGGAACAGGCATTTCATTTTCTAGTCAGAGATCAAGGATCAGACATTTCATTTTCTAGTCATAGATCAAGGAACAGCCATTTCATCCACTGAACAGATATTGAGGAACAAGCATCTGATCCACAAGTCAGAAATAAGGGATCAGTATGACATCATTGGGACATTTGTAAAGTATGGCCTTGCCAAGATATGAAACAAATACAACTGCATAACAGCCCATTACCTGCTGTTGTGGTTCCATTAGCTTTGAATGCTGGTTTCAGTTTCCTCAAGCCTTCTAGTGTTGTTGGGCGAATACCTTCATCTTTGCTCACCTAAAGAAAAAGTCAGATGCCATTTTTGCATTTCATCTTAAACTTTTTCTTACTCACAAAGCATGTTTCATGAAACTAAGATACACTGTCAAATATGTCAGTTCATAGAAACTAATGTTTTATCCACCCGTGTGTGTACCCGCAGAAGCAACAACAACAAAAATTGACTGCACCTTACAATGCAAGTCACAAGAGGCAACTAAAAGTAGGGTTGGAATTTTGCTTGTAAACTTGACTATAGCCACACAAACCAGTCATAAACAAGTAAACAAAAGAAATAGAGGAAGAAAAGATCGGTAGGACATGGGACTGAACTCTCATAATCGATGTGAATGTGGAATCACCCATCTTGGAATATTCCTGCTCTACTGGGGATGGAATGGGGATGAAACAACCTACGTTATGCTGATGGCACCCCCCTTGACAGCGAAAGGTCAGAAAGAACTGCAGGAAGTGATAGATGCTGTGGTTGTAGAAAGTGATAAAATGGGCCTTAGTTTGAATAACTGGAAAGGACTGCATACATGAGTACAGTCAGAATAGGGGAGACATCCCTGCAGAGGTAAATAATCTATTTTAAGTGAACGAAAGAAGTCAGAATACAGAGTCTCCTTTATAAGTAATATAAGTATATATGTTCTATTAACTTTTTGAGTCCCAAGGAACGCATCATACATTCATAGATTCCTACCTAGAGGCCCAATGAACGCATGATGCGCCGATTTTACGTCTCTATCAACCCTCCTTGAGCCTGTGATACTAAAAAATTCCCTGGGATTCAAAGAGTTAAACATTTGTGGTTCGTGGTCATAACATAAACAACCTGTGTTATGCAGGTTATACACTGTCTCAATAGCGAAAAGTCAGAAAGAACTATAGGCATTGAGAGATACAGTGGTGGTAGAAAGTCATAAAATGGGCCTCAGTTTGAAGAATGACAAGACAGAAGTAATGGTGATATCCAAGAAAAGAATAGTTACTAAATGTATAATAAAAGTTAAAGGCGTTATTTTAGGACGAGTACATAAATTTAAGTATCTAGGCAAATGGATAACATCCAATGGAAGATGTATCACAGAGATAAAGAATAGAGAAGGACAGGTCAAAACCGCATTTTACAAAATGAAGAACATTTTATGCAGTTAAATCAATGCCATTGGAGGTTAGGAAAAGAATTCTCACATGCTATATAGAGCCATTTTTTTGGCTGTGAAGCCTGGGCAATTAATAAACAAGCCGAACAATATCTAAAGGTTGGTGAGATGTGGTTATACAGAAGAATCCTTAGAATTCCTTGGACAGCTAAGAAGAGCAACCCAGATATTTTGAAAGAGGTGAATGCTCGAAGAAAACTTTCACAAACATCAGAAAGAGACAGTCATCATCTTTTGGTCACATTACGAAAAGAGGAAAAAACGGAATATGTTGTGACCAGTGGAAAGATCTGTGGAAAAAGAGGCAGAGGAAGACAGAGGGAAAAGATTCTTGACACTTTTGTCATGGCATGGAGGGATGTCAGTACACAAACTGATACACACAGTTGCAGATTGTGGAGAGGCATGATCTTGTCTTGTCTTTGCCCTTAATAGGACAGTTAGTATATTGTGTTGTGATATCTGCCTTTCATGTACATGTGCTTTGAAAACTCATCTTTTGTATTCTCATTTGATCTAGAACATGCCTAAGTCTTTCATCTCAACACATTGATTCAACATACTACAAATTAGTCACCTTCTAAGACATGCCTGTTAGGGGTCGGTGGGTTTCTTCTTCCCAGCCCCACCCCCCACCACAACAGGACCCCAGAAGCCACACGGGGACCAAGTATATACAGTAAGTTGCTACCACCCCACAGATTCACCATAGCATCTATTATACTGGTTACTGGCGGTTGATCTGCCAGGCCATGAACAGTAAGTTGCTAAAACCGGCCTGCGACCCACATCGTTCTCCATTCTGCGCAAAAACGGCAGCTCATCCTGATTGAGTTGACTGTCCCGTTTGAGTCGCGTATGTTATCATTGAGCTCGAGAAGTACAGTGATTTAGCAGCCGGTCTAAGGAGAAACGGGGCTTACACAGCACGGGTATTTGCCGTCGAAGTGGGAGCGAGAGGCCTCGTTTCCACTTTGCTCTACAATGTGGTGAAAGAACTAGGTATTGCGCGGTAATGAACGGAAACGAACACTCAAAAACTGGGAGAGGTGGCCGAAAGGGCTTTAGCTGGCTTTGGACGCAGCGCAACAACGTGGGGACGGGCCTCGGTGAGCTGGTCCGGGTGTCTAGTGGAAAAGGGTTTCTCACCCCTTTGAAAGTCCATCGTGTCTGAATTGTCTGCCAGTGTTCCTCTGCCAACTGCTAATAAAAGTCCAACATGTGTCTGGTAAACCAAAGTAAGCTTGTCGCTCGGTCGTCCAGGCATGCTGACTGCTTTAATTAGGCTGCCGTGGCGGCTTTTTATCTCACAGTACCTCCTTCGAAACCACCAAGTCGTCTTGTCTCTGGCCGAAAGAATAACACCATCCGGTAATTCCGTGCAGCGGGGAACCAGCCCTGAGCTTCATGAACTCAGGAGGGCCCACCTCCGAATGCGTCTAGGAATAGTGGGCCGAAACGCTCATTGACGAGGATAATTTCTACTGATGACTGGTAGATCCCTGCTGTACTTGCTCCCTGTGAGTTTATTCCTATTCCTATAGGATCACTTTTGCTGTTAATTGATCTTTGTCATCTCAGTGTTCACTGGCAGAAAGTTCTGGTTATTCATCCACTTCAGGGCTTTAGTATTGTTCTAAAACTTGGGTTCACTGGCAGAAAGTTCTGGTTATTCATCCACTTCAGGGCTTTAGTATTGTTCTAAAACTTGGGTTTTGTGTGTACATTCATTTTACAGATCTAACTTATATATATGTGCATCCCCGGTTCGCTAGCGTAGTTGGTTAAATCTGACTTTCGCGGTGATTGGGTGACGAACTCCTTGTGGTCCGGGTTCACGCCTGGGGGTAGACAGAAAAGCCATATTTCTCCCAGATTTACAGTACCTATCATGGAATCAAGGCTGAAGGGTTGCGATATCCATAGTACCGAACCAAAGGGTTAACAACTCATGGTTTCTGGATACTTGAAAAAACAAAAATATGTGCATTTTGTTGGTTACTCGCCTCTCAGGCAGATACTCTCCGACTTCAAGGGAACATTCATAATCAGATGTTTTTATTTTTTTAATTAGGAAATAAAAACAAAAAGCCAGGGACATTATTTATCTAGCTATACTCTAACTATAATACAGGCAGGATCACTCACAGTGACAGTTTTCTCTTGCCCATTCTCATCCTTGACCCTGGTCGTGACCGGAACAATTTCGGCATCAAATAGCCCTGAGTCTGCAGCTTTCTTGGCTCTGTGAATTCATCACAACATTAATACAGCTACGAGGTCAGCTAACAAAAAAGCCAGCAGTTATTTTAAGCTAAAAAAGTAAAGAGCCCTTTCCTACGCCACTGGCACATCGGGCATGGAGTGTTTAACCCACATCAGTATTTGATAGGTGATGTGGTCAGGGTCATGCCAGCCATCTTTACTTCTCAAGACATTTCCAGGTAGCAATTTTAGGCTGGGTTGACCTTCAGAGTCAATGTTAATTATAAATAAATCGACATCCGAACCCAATACCCTCAGGCTGGGAGGCAAACGCCTAACCACTGCACTATTAATTCTACAATATTGCAATCACTATAAAAATAACTGAGGCATTTAAACTTTAAAAAAATATCAGGAAAAAATATCAAACCAAATGAAAAGTTGGACCAGTCAGCTTCACATTATCACAAACATGAATGACAGGTGAATGCTGTGGCTCAAGAGCCTTCATCAGCAAATTACATGAATATACAGTACCACAAACACGAACAAGGATACACAAAAATCACTTAACTGAAGTGTCTCCAAGACAAATCACATATTTTCACTATAAAGCAACAGAAAAGTTGCTATAATATGAGGAAAGTAATGAACGTAAAACTAAATTTTCAAAGAGCCATAAACTAGGCACGCAGGCCCATCTTACATTAGCCCTTCCATTAATGACCTTCTACAAGATATAACGTCAAAGAAGACTGACTCATTAACAGCAACATGTCTTAGAGATTGAAATGCTTTGGGCATTTTTAGCATTGTACTCATTTAGAAAGGACAGAAATGAAAGGCATGGCTCCTTGGAGAAGAGGCAGGACTCAACCATTACAAATTTGGACAAGGGACACAAGAAACACCTTGGGCCTGGAAATACATGAGAATAATCAACAGGCTGAATAGAGTTTCATCTGCAAAGGACCTGTTAAATTATGATGATGATGATGACTAAATCAAAATGGAAATTACAAATCTAACTTAAAACTAAAGATAAATGCCTTATTTGTACCAACTTTGTGCTATCAACGCCAGACAGGGACAGTCCTAGAAGAACATAAACATAAAATTACAACATGTGAGATGAGATGTATAAGAAATCTGGCGGGAAAACTAGCAGAGACAGAGTCACTAATGAAGAACTTAGAACAACGGTAGGCACAGTACCGGTAAACTATTTCTAGAACACCAAAGAATCAAATGGTTTGGTCGTCTGGTCAGAATGAAACAAAATCAACCAGCAGCTAGGGCGTACTACTTGAAAACAGCAGGTTACAAGGCAAGAGGTTGATCAAGTCAAGGAAGGGTGGAGGCAGTAAAAGGGACACTACACAAATGCAATATAACATTAACATAAGTTACATAACTAGCAAATGGCAGTAAACTACATCAAACTCCTCTCTGCGACGCTTTTCAGCATAAGCAGTAAGATAAAGAAGACTGAAAGCATTACAGAAACATTTAAGACACAAAGAAGAGGAAGCTACAGGTCAAGTCTAGATGTTAACTGACTCACTTGACTTGGGAGCTGAGAGCAAACTCATCCTGGTCCTCCCTGGACACCCCAAACCGCTCAGCCACATTCTCAGAAGTGATGCTGGGTGCAAGAACAATCAAATCAGACACAATTAACAGTAGTTATTTTATATACAAGTGTCTTTAAAGCCTATAATATCAGGTTATGAATGCAGCACTTGACATCACAGACCCTGATTCACAGATGAATTTTTACAGGTTTCACCCCTTCACTGATGAAAATGGATAACAGAATGCTGCTCTTCTTTGGTGCATGTCAAAAGTGAAGCGGCCATTTGTAAACTGTCATTATGATATCACTGTTTATCTGCACCATGATGCCATATGCTTAATACTTTTAACATCTTTATTAACAGCAATACTAACAGATTACGAGAAAAGGTATGGTTACTGTTTTCTCTTTCACACTTTTAAGGTATTTGTTTGCAGCCCCCTTGTACAAAAATTCGGTAATTTCTATTCACCTGGTGTGAGTTCCCTGAAAGGTATGTTCATTTGTTTGTGCTTGTTATTTCAGAGCATGTTCTCAACATACCTTTTTTGTTTCACTTTATATGGACCTGAAACATGCTGCACAGAAACATTCAGAAGGATTATCTGGAGAACCTTTCATGTTAGGGTAGAATTACAACAACAAAAGACAGTAAGTAAAAAGGTAAAGTCAGGAGATGTGAACCAGCGTCATTGCACACGGTTATAAACCATAAGTGCTCTGCCACCAGTACGGACAGCTGATAAGAAACTGCCTGCGTCGCCGTCTGCACGTAACTCTGTAGCTACAGCGACGTTCCTCCATTTATCCCAGAGTGTCACTCTGGTACCCATTTCCTAGAGGCTGGGTGAACCCCAGGAACCGCCCAGTTTCGAATACCGACCTTACAGCGAGTGGCAGCTGGATTTGAAAGCGAGTCTGCTATCGACTGCGCTAACGCGGCAAGACAGTGACTGAAGCTTTTTTTATTTTCCTTTCTGCATTTTTTAAATGGCTTCTAGATTAAATGGCCTGTTTTCCTCAAAGCAGATTACTGATGTGCCATTCTGATAAGTGCAGCCCAGAGCTATCATAATAAGTGGTTCTTTATTAATATCCAATCCCAGATGACGTCACGGGACAGTCCAACATTTTAGAGGGTGGTAATACTGGGTTTCCCAGCTTTCGGATGCTTTTAACGACCCCAAAATATCTAGAACTGGCCCTAACCCCAACCTACCTATGTCCCATGAGAAAGTGCAGCCTATTCACAGGAATGCATGCAGCCTATCTACCATCCCCTGAAATATTAGACTGTTCCATGACCTGTGAATTTCCCCTGTTTGGGTAGGATATTCATTAAGCACCGAATAAGTTTGCTCAGGGCCAAAATGCTGAAAATGGGGTTCATGAAGGGCCACAGGCCTGAGCCCCAAAGTAGAATGATCATTAATACACTATAACTAGCAATGCTCTGCGGGCCACTTGCTAGGCCTCTGTGGGCCACTTGCTAGGCCTCTGTGGGCCACTTGCTAGGCCTCTGTGGGCCACTTGCTAGGCCTCTGTGGGCCAATTGCTAGGCCTCTGTGAGGCCACTTGCTAGGCGTCTGCAGGCCTGTTGCGGCAAGCAAACTGCCAGCTGAATAGCCCTGGTGTAGGTGATTATGGTTCACCTTCTCACACAATCCTCAGTCTTGGATCAGGCCTGTGTTCTTGTCCAGGTTATGTCATGTATACAAGCCATATATTTATGTCTTTCTCTTCCCTGTGATCGATTTCCTTGAAGGTTGCCAGCTGCAAGTTGGGACAATTTTAATTCAACAAACAACATTTATTTAGTTCAAAGCCGAAGATATTATTATCCTGGAAGACAATCAAAATAATCATAACAACAATCTTTAACCAAGAATGAAATGACTCAACAAAAAATTTAGCAACAAATTATGCATCTATGCAAACATACACACAAAAAACCTATATAATGGTCAAAATGACAGCCTTATCAACAGAAGAAGAAGAATGATCAAATCAATCAGAATGCCACCGAAACTGGCACAAGACGATTACCATATTATGGACAGACCAGAGCAAGTCATTATTCTTCGCCTTAGAACAGGGCACAATCGACTTCGCTGCCATATGTACAACAAATTTAAGATTGGCCAATCAGCCATGTGTACCTGTGGACTGGCACCTGAGACAACAGTTCACATCCTCCAAGACTGTCCCAGATTCAACGCTTCCAGGCAAAACTTCTGGCCAAAGAGACACTTGTGGAAGTCAAACTTTACGGACTCCTTAGTGAATTACAAAAGACAGTGAAATTCATACTAGAGACAGCATTGCAGATATAGATAATTTATTTCATGCGAACGAAAAAAGAAGAATAAGAAAATGACAGCTTTACCCCATTGGCATAAGAACATCCTGTGTTAGCTGACTTTCGCCTATCCGTGGATTCAGCACATAACCATTCAGTCCCATTCCATAAGTACTCATGGACTCCACCCTGATAACAAAAAAATAGGATAAAACAGTTGAGATGTGAATGAATGGTACTTACATTACCACATGCTGCCTGCCCTAGCTATCATAAAATTACTACTCCTCCTCCAACTTCTTCTTCTTCCTTCTTATTCTTTTTCTTCTTCTTCTTCTGCACCCACCATTAAAACTGAGATTATCATTGTGTATTATAGTTTACTCCTAGCCTATGATGTCTGTGACATTCAGGCTAACATGTCCAATTTCAGCAAACCATTGTATATATGAAGTTACTAGTACCCCCAAAATTGGGTCCTGGAACCCACAATGGGAGTACAATATATCTAGTTCTTAATAACTTTTTCTTAATAAGTCCCAAACAATGCACCATGTGTACTTAATCATATGCACCAGTCAACAGGATCTGTATATTTTTACATCTTAAGCTCAGTGAGGCAAACTAAACCAATCCAGCAACACAAGTCACATACAGTGTGCCTTGTATTTGGACCCTGTTGTATGTCATAAACCAGGGCTATTCAACTGAGTTTACTCAGAAGCCCCAAAAATGGGATCCAATAACCCACAGAGGAATATCTCTTGCTCAACTGACTTCCATTTTTTATTATCAAATGGTTTAACAGGATACTCAATGAAGTGATTTTTGCGTTTACATTTGGTTTTGTCTGATTTATGTATGTGCTAATAAAAGCTCCATAGCTGCAACACTCAGGTTTCGTTTGTGTTTGTTATATTGTGAAGCTCGCTGATCTACTTTGCATTTGGTTTTATATCTTTTCATTAAAAAAAAACAAGTTTTAATATGCTCAGAATGTTTCATCTTCTCCTGTTTTATTTCTTCCAACAAGTGCAAGTTCATTCCCAGCTAATAATTTACCAAATAAATGTTATTTCATATTTTATATGAATAAATTATCCTTTTTTTTTTTTTTCAAAAGATACTGTAACAATTATGCTACAAATTAGATATTTAAAAAAACTGTTTTAAAGCTAAATGTTCTCTCAACTTACCCTCCAGCTATCCCAATTTCATAGACTCCATTTTTAATGTTTCCTGAAATAAAAAATGTTACATAAAATCTCAGAATGAATACTTACATGTGTATTATTTCAAAAAGCACTGGAATTCTACATTTAAAAGAACATTAAAAAAAATATAAACAATTCTTCACCTTCTTTTTAATTGTTACCAGCTGTAAACTTCAGGGGAAAGTTCTGGATTATATTCTACTTCACGACTTTGGTTATGTTTGAACTTTTGTAAGCAAATCCTTTTGAGAGATCTGATTTTTGTATGCAGACTGTTGGTTCCTCAGATCTCAAGAAGATGCACTCTGAATTTAAAGGAAATCCCACTAATAAGCCTCTTTTTACAACCTGTTTGTTAGGGGGGTTCCACTGATCTGTTCGCCCATACTAAACAAATTTCCTCACAAGAAATAAAGGGAGGATCATTAATCTGTTCCCATCAAAAACTCCTGTCGTTACTGGCTTATTACACATTGAAGGGGGTGTAAAAATTAATTTAGACATTGCTTAATATTGAAATACATAAATTCAAAAGATTTAGATTAAAAACATTAAAATGTAACCTCACTTGACCTAACTGAGAAGAGTTGAGTGCCTACTAGGATGGTGCTAAGAAGGAAGGAGGAGGAGATGTTCTTGTCTGGAAAGTAAGTACCCTTCTAATAAAACTTCAGGAGTAAAAAATTATGGTATTATTTCTCTTTTTTGTATGGGGGGGGGGGGGGGGGGATGGGCGGGGTAGGGTGAGGAGCTCTTTTCCCTACTTGAAACTGGTTGAAGCTCTTAAGTTCTAGCAGCTGAGTCATTTTGCAAACTAGGGTCATATATCAAGCCAAATTGTTTTGTCTTTACAGGATTTATATGAAGTTGGGACTTATCAGAAAGTGGACATAGACGTAGGTACCATCGTATTATCATACTTTTGTATTTCATTCAAAATTATGAACATTTTTTTAGCTTCATTTTATGTTGGTACAAATTCTGTAGTATACAGAATACAAGATACAGCGAAATATGTCAAACAATAAATTGTGCAGTATATTGCTTCTGTCCTCATTATTTAAAGCACAAAAAGTGGTAAAAATAGAAGTGATTGCAGGTAAGCTAAAACCAAGGAATTAATCCAATCAACAGTGACTGAAAAGCTTAACAAAATCAGGAAGCAGAATAACGTGCATAAAACAACACAAAAGGACGCTTTGGCGCTGGGTCTTTCTCAACAAGAACATGAACTACAACATTGCTGTCGGACTCTTGAATGCATTCTTGTTAGGAATGCCAATGCAGTTCATGTTCTTGTATTTAAACACACAACGGGAAAACATGTTTTCTTTTAAATACCACTATTTCAAGACACCCTCAAAACCAGCTAAACTAACTACAATCATCAATGTAACTTGACAGGAATATCAAGAGATTCTGTTTCTGTATTCGCTTTCATACCTGCCACATTTGTGAAAGCCACTAAGCCTGAAGAACACTGTCGATTGGTTGTGAACACAGGAACACTCTCTGGGATTCCACTGAAAAATAAAACAGAAACACTATAGTCATATAAACCTGCCTTGTCACTTTAATACTGATATTAAAACCTCTTCTTCTTCTTTTCCTTATTCCTGTCATTGGTTTTCAGACAAGAAATCCACAGGCCTCCATGAAGTCTGTGGTGTGACACATATCTTCCATTGTTGCATACAACTTGGTTCCATTGGAATGCTAACCGGCCAAACCTAAAATCTCTCAGATTACTAAATCTGAGTCGTGGATTGTATGTAATCATTTAAAAAATTGAGCTTTTGAACAAAAATGTTACAAAAACATTCTAAAATAGTATAGATTGAGAAAAAGATAAATATTGATATTCAAACAGAAAGCTGGCTTACAAACAGAATGCCTCATAAACTTAAACATTTCAGCCATAGTAAACAATTCAGTGGTGCTGGAAAGAAGTGTCCTGGAAGAAGAGGCAGGGGTCAACCAGCACAGTGGTAGACACAGGGTATTACATACGTACGCCATGGGCATGATATTATGTCAGGCAGGGGTTGACCAACACAAGCGTATGCACAGGATATTACAGACATCTTGGGCATAGAAATATGTGAGGCAGGGGAACTAGCAGGGAATCTTCTTACACTAATGCCCTGAGGCATTCCAAGAGTAGAGAAAAGAAAAAGAAGGGGAATTGGCAAGAGATAATGTGCCTTTCCAGCAAGCAATGGTGGGAGAAGCATTCTGCAAAGGAGCTGTTAAATATTCAAAAGCTGTTAAATATTCAAAAGCTGTATAGATTATGCAAGACTAGTCAACCTTATGACTTAATTTGATGTTTAATACACTCAAAGACCATACCTGTAGAACTGTGCTAGTCTGGCTGTAGTGGCTGATTGTGGATCGAGAACATTCCCTGTGAAATAATGTAAAGAGAAACATGGTCACTGTGTTAAAATATTTTTGCCAAACAATTAAGAACTGTCAAGACAAGAAATTGTTCACCACTGGCAAACATTATGAAAGAAGCAGGATGGAGATGGCTTGGACATGTTTGTGAATGCTTCATGAAACTTTGGCTTTGGTAGCTCTCCAATGGATGCAAATAGAAAAAAAAAAAAAAAGATGCAGATGAACAATACAAACCTGGAGAAGGACAGTAGAAAGGGAAATGAAGGATTGTACAATTGACGTGGGATACCACAGGCAGAAAAGCAGCAGACTGGCATCAATGGAGATCACTTGTGAATGCCTTATGTGAAAGCCAGCGAACTGTGAATACTCCACTATATGCTTCTCTTACACTGAACTATAACAAGAGCCACTGGGTAACACACACCATCCTTCGACATTGAACTTGTTCCAGAACTTCAGTTTTGGGTACACAGCTGTGTCACAGATCTGACTTATTTGCATGCAGGCTGTTAGTTTCCTGCCTCTTATTCAATCCAACTTTGAAAGAAGCTCCCCTAATTAGTTGCCTTGTATGACATGCTTGTTAGGAATGCAGTGGGTCTATCCCCCCCCCCCCCCCCCAAAGGGCCCTGTAACCCACAAAGGAATATTTTTTTAATGATATAACTGACTACACTATTCAAGTCCTTTGCTTTAACAAGGGTTTTTAATGAGCAACGGTGACTCTATTGACCCATGTCATTCAGATATACATTCAACCCTGTCATTCAGAAGCAGAGGAAAATGCAGCACAACTAAAACTCTATCAGCAAACTAATGTTACAACACTGTTTTCCATGAAAAACATAACAATCATATGAAAAATCATTCAGACAAACAAAGAGTTAGGAAGATGGCCAAACTGAAAAATATGAGTAGATAGCAGGAGAGCATAGTCGACTTGCAGGATAATGTATAAAAGACACCAGGAAGATATTATCTTATATCAAAATGGAGACTTCTTCTTCTTTGTGTTCACCGGCTGTAAACTCCAGTGGGAAGTTCTGGTGTTTTTCCCACTTCTGGACTTTAGTCTTGTGCCAGAACTTGAGTTTTTCATGCTCATCCGTTTACAGATCTGGCTTATTAACTTGCATATTGTTGGTTCCTCATCTCTCTCAGGCGGATGCAGTCCAACTTCGAAGGAAACACACGTAATTAGTCGACTTTTATGACATGCTTGCTAGGAGGGACGTGAATCTATTGATTTCCCCCTACAATGGGACCCAGAACCCATACGGGGAAGAAAACGGACAGAATATAAGTTGAAACAATTATTTTTTTAATTATAATTGACCCTTTTTTTGCCAAGGGTGCATCAGTCATAAGATCCTCTTCTTCCTTGTTCACCGGCTGTAAGATCTAGTGGAAAGTCCTGGTTGTTCGTTGATTTGGACTTTGACTTCGTGCCAGGGCCTGAGTTTTGCGTGTACATTTGTTTTAATGGCTTATTTGTTCCTTGCCACTCTGGCAATGCACTTTGACTTTGAAGGAAGCCCCCAATTAGTCTACACCTACAACATACTTGATGGGGAGGCAGTGGGATTTATCATTGTTTTCCCCAAATTGGGGCCCCGGAACCCACCAGGGGATGGCATAAGATGCTTCTCATATTTTTACAGACCCCTCGGCACTCGATAGGGTGAAGACATCAAATCATGCATGCTGCCTTTACTTCCCAGACAATGCATGGCACCCATTTTTAGTCTGGTCAACCTTGGAGCCAAAGTCATTTTGAAAAATGTGCCCTGATCAGCACTGGAGCATTAGACAGATAATATATAACACCAAAATGGAGAATGACACTAGCTCCAAAACTGCACAATGTAACTTACCAACACAGATATCTCCAATATCTGCAGGGTTAATTTTTGACTCATCGATGACAGCTTTAAACACAACAGCCAGCAGGTCATCAGCTAGTGTGTCCTGAAAATCAATTCACAAGGTTTCCAAATTATCTTTATCATCTTCATGCAGTAAATCCTTTTCAGAATTCACTCTCAGTACAACCTGCCAGATAAGGTTGCATTCCTTCACCTCTTGCCCTGTCTTATGTACTTCAATGTTCTGAGTCTCTTTAATGTCCCATGTCTACCTTTATGCTTGTCAGTGCCAACCTCATCTTTAATAAAAACATGGCTTCCGCCATTGTGATGTTTCTTTTATCCATATTTTGCTTTGTGTTACAGGTTAACGGATGATTAGTATCCGAGCTAGGGCAAGCTCAGTTGCCTAGTAGTGGAGTCTCAAGGGTCTCAGTGACTCCTCTTTCAATCCATTTTCTTTTTGGTTATCCCCTGTCTTGGTTTTTCTAATTTCGTGCTGTTTGCTTTAGTTGTTAGCAACACTGGATTCATTTTCCTTAAATGGTTAAAGCATTTACTATAAAGTTTGATGCCTCTAAAGTATTTTCCAGAGACATGACACTGTTAATGATAATTTTCTTTTATGTTAAGATTTTGTAAAATGCCAATACTTTTGTCTGGCTTTCTGTAGCGTTATATTAACTATTCTTCTTTGGGTTAGTGAAATGGTTAAAAACTGACAGTAGTATATTGTAGCAGGAGAGATGTATGCTCCTCCAAAAATTTAGACTTTTTTTTTGGCTAGGTATTCCATTTGTTTTTTATACTGTTTGACCTCTGCACTGCTTTTGCCAATCCCATTCTGATTCTTTCACACAGAAAATACTGTTGCTAATTATGGAACTAATGTATGCACATTTCTGACATTTTCAATTCTTTTTAATTGCCAACTGTAATTTTTTATTATCAAGCAGTCTTGTGTGTAAGCATTTTCTTTGATTTTATGTTTTTTGGTACATGTTTTGGTCATGTCACAAGAAGGTGAAAACTGGAGTACATCGTGATGGTGCGAAAGCTGCAGTGTAAAAGAAGCAGAGGGAGACAGAGAAAATCTGGAAATGTTGACATCGTGGCATGGAAGATCATCTGTGTCAGAATAGAAGATCGTGGACAGACATGACTACCAATGCCACACAGCACGAACTAAGCAAAACTTGCAGAAAAAAATATAGCTGAGTCATGTGTCACTTAAAGGTAACACCCGTCGGGTGCACAGCAATGCGTTACTAATCAGCACTTTTCAGCTGATGTGCTAGATTATACAACACATACAAAGTAATATGCATCCTAGCAGTCAAACCAACTATTTGGACAGAATATGTTAATGCAACAACTGTTTAAAAAAAAAAAAATTAATGACATGCATTAAACATTTTGGCTACGCCTTAGTCTCAACTTATAATTATATGCAGTCTCCAACGTTATGCTGGTTGAAGTTTCCAACAGTGCTATGTCAAGGTCTCACTCAAAGTCAAACAATCTCAGAATCAATAATCTGATGTGTACTTTAAAGTACTGCTGTTGGAGCCATATTTATTCTGATTTTTCTTTGTTTACCAACAGTATGCTCCAGCAGAAAGTCCTGATTGTTTGTCCTTTTGGACTCTGGTCTTGTGCCAGGGCCTGAGTTTTGCATGTACATCTGTTTTACTAGCTTATCTGTGGGCAGCTGGTTGTTCCTTGCCACTCAAGAGTCGACTGCTATGACATGCTTGTCAGGGAAGCTGTGGGTCTATTCTTGTTTTCCCCCACAATGGGGCCCCGGAACTCACAAAGGGAAGTGCCATATTTTATCGTAGTTATTATGAGCGGGGGAGGGGGACGGTAGGGACAAAGGATGAAGAAAAAGAGGATGATTGCTTTTTTTAATTATTTTTGGTTTTAAATTTTAACAGAATGTTTAAATTTTATGATTATGATCTATTATCATCACCATTATTCATCACAATCCTGCTGTGCCGTTATATGTCAACCAGGGCTCAGTCTTTTCCTCAATTCTGCTAAATTATAATTATGTGCAATACTTTCAATGAATTCAGTCTAGCATCCCTGGTCTCTCTCACCAACCAACGTTCATTAGTTCATTTCAGGGTTTCTCGAACTCTTTCTTAGTCGCCTTGGCTTCCTCCTTAACTAAATCCATTGCATTTGTTTCCATTTTAGTGCATGTTTGATGTTTGTTTGGTGATCTCGTGACGTGTTCTCAGTTCGCATCTCCTCGAGAATAAGAATGAATGTTCCAAAATTAAAAAAAAAAACATACTGATCATTTGTTTATTCAGATTATTGATAAAGATAAAAAATAAAATTTTATTGTTCATTGCTAACAACAACTTGCAGACGGTCAGCAGCTGATCATAATCAACACCATACTATTACCTTTCTTTATTCTAGACAAAGGCGGTGTTAATTAATGTTCAACAAAATAAAATTCTTACTTTCAATGCGCCTCTTTTCGCCTTCCCAAAAGGTGTCCGAAGCGCGGAAACAATGACAATATCGTCTGGTTTGTTCGGAAACACTGGCAGATTTCCTGCTGCTGTGGGCTGGGGCTGCAGGAGAAGGTCTCCTCGATCTGCTGTCTGGCCGATCTTGATGTGATGGGAAATCGTCCGAAGCCTGTCTGCCATGATATGTGTCCGTTGAAAGTAGTTACTATAAAATGATTTTGTAAACGAAGTACTTTGTTCTGTCAATTTTACGGTCAGAGATACGTTACGTACTTTGCCCGGCCATACCAGTAACCTTTCACCTTTCATACTTTCACCTCTTTCCGGAAACGGAGAATAGTGCTAAAAGACTGTAGGTTACTTAGAGAAGTTACTATAGTCTCCCATGTGGTCTAGTGGTTAGGATTCCTGGCTTTCACCCAGGCGGCCCGGGTTCGATTCCCGGCATGGGAACATTTTTATTTTGTAAATGCAGATCAGTTGGACAACATTTTAACTGTACGACTGACTGACTTATGATACATAAGGATTGTCTCTGTTTGCTTTCACATCAAGAAGAATTGGTTGGGGAGGAAAGGGTGGGGGTGGTCGTTGTTGAACCTGATCAGGAATATTCCATGGTTCCCTAATAAACATGGTTGTAAGTTGTTATTCTGCTATTCCATTGTTATTTTGTTGAGTATAGCCTAGTTGTGATACCCACTGTTGGTTGCTGTAGTTGATGCACTACTATACTACCACTGGAACTCTGTTGTACCTCCACTGACTACTACATGATCGTCTGAGGTGTGGTCATTACTACACTCCCCACTCAGGAAAGGAACCTTAACTTCTTAATATCTTTTCTAATTCTCTCTCTCACACACACTTTAAACTTCTTTCTCTCTCCCTATATACCTCCTTAAATGAAATCAATAAGGTGCCGTCTCCACAGTAAAGATTGGCTGTCAAACGGATGCACACGCAACACTCAGGTTCTGGAACAGGACTGCAGTCCAGAAGTGGACGAATAACCACTATAGTTTACATCTTGTGAACGCAAAAAAGAGGAAGAAGAATTGGAAAAGCTTTACGCGTGTTAAACATAAAATGGAGGCGAAGTTCCTATTATCTAACTAAACATGTTGCTTGATCACACACACACATACACACACACACAAAGAAACAAAATTTTCGTTGTCGGCAGGATTCGAACCTGCGCGGGAAGATCCCAATGGATTTCTAGTCCATCGCCTTAACCACTCGGCCACGACAACTATTACATATTTTGCATATAGAAACTTTATTATAGAAATTTACATTTCTTTTGATTATGAACTATTGATTCAGACTATTATACAAATATATACACGCTTTCATATTATATCTACATGTATCTCTCTTTACAACTGCTAGAAACTTTATATGCTTCATTAAACAGTCACCAGATATTTATAAATAAACAACTATGTCTTCCTGTAGCATAATATGTAACGCGCATGCGTGAACCTTGTAGTAGAGTACTGAAAATAAATGGTAGTGGCAGGGGTTGGTGTTCTGGGAATTAGCAGCAACTTTCATGAACATTTCACAAATGGCCTGCCTAGCCAGACTCAAAGAAGATATACGTGTGCTTGAAACGGCGTTTCCCCGGGTACACAATCGATTTCAAGTACTTACGGCAACCGTGGACGAACTGACATGTAGAGTTATCGGGAAGAAAGGAGAAAAATACGACGTCCAAGCTCACATAACGGTATCCTATCGGAAGTCATTTACATTTTCATTTTCTTAGTCGTATTCAGAAATTAAAGGGAAAACGTCCTATATTTTGATATTTTAGTCTCTTATTGTATATTTCAAAAGTTGTCTGTATTCCAAATTGTTTAAACTTGATGTAGGCTCAGAAATGTGTGATTGACTGAGTGATCAGTGAGTGACTTTACAATCTTCAGCCTTTGTTATCATTTTCTATTTATGTTTGAGATTGTTTTAGTGCTGTTTTTATTTATTGTCTTGTGTTTCATTGCTTCTGATTCTTCTCGTTATTGTGGATGCTTGATAAAGTTGATTGATGTAATAGTGTTTATTTCAATGAATTGTGAGTGTTGAGAATAAGTTATCAGTAAAGAATGACTAGCAATGGAAGTTGGATCTTCTGTCTAGTTTATAGTTATGAATATTTGCTTTCCCCAGGAAACCTATCCACAGACAGCACCTATATGGTTTAGTGACAGTGAAGATGCCAATATAGTGGCTATAGTTGGGGAGCTGTCAAACACAAAGCCTGAACAATTTAATGTAAGTTTTAAATTCATTACTGTGATTGTGGTATTTGAACAAAGAAGACACAAACAATAGACTGCACAATTTATTGCCTGGCATATTTCGCTGTATCTCGTCAGGTGCATACTACAGTAACAAGTGAATAAATGAAGCAAATAGCTGAATCCTAGAAACTGAAACACAAATTCGAGTACATTCTACACTGTCTGTTTCACCAAGGTAACCTTAGGGAAACTACCATTTCTTTCTGCCTACAGAGATCCGGTTTTAACCGGTGGATCGCGGAAGCTTCAGCGTATCTGAGTAATCTACGGTTGGCCAATTTGTAAATAATTCGAAATGCATCATCCCTGTTAAGGATGTGCCCGGAATTTAGAATGTGGCACGCAATTGCTGATGATGGATTTTGTCGACCAGTCACCTGATTCGTTGTTGTTGAGGTGTTAGTGTTTTGCATTGCTTTTACCAACCGTAGATTACTCAGATACGCGGAAGCTTCCGGGATCCACCGGTTAAAACCGGATCTCTGTAGGCAGAAAGAAATGGTAGTTTCCTTAAGGTTACCTTGGTGAAACAGTGTAGAATGTACTCGAATTTGTGTTTCAGTTTCTAGGATTCAGCTATTTGCTTCATTTATTCACTTGTTACTGTAGCATGCACCTGACGAGATACAGCGAAATATGCCAGGCAATAAATTGTGCAGTCTATTGTTTGTGTCTTCTTTGTTCAAATTCACATCGGGGAAACATTGCTTTGAATTGTGGTATTTCTTTACTTTCTTTCTAATGGATAGGAACAGTCGTGAAATGTACTTCACCTACTTAGACCCCCGATGAGGGTTACCTGAAGTTATGGCAGGCAGGTGATGGATAAATGTGATGAGCAGCTGAAAAGTTTTCAGCACTGGTCTCCACTTTGAATGCTAGGCAGAGGATGCCTCTATAGGCACAGTGGCAAGGACAGCCTTTCCAGTATGGGCACTGCTCTCACACAAAGAAATTGCAATCTACTGTATCTTGCAAAGAAAAGTCATGACTATAACCTGTTGTTCAACATAAACCTTGAAGTGAGTTCAGGAACTACCTCATCTAGTAGGGGCCCGCATGTGCTACAGGTGTAGCCAAACTGTAAACCGGCCACTGAATGCAAACCAAAGAATGAGACATTAGTCATTGGAACATGGAATGTGAGAACACTCATACATATTGGTAAACTGGAAAACATCAAGGGTGAAATAAAAAGAAATGAATGTCAGCATCTTGAGATAGTACATACTGGAGCAGAGGAAATGTTTTCAGGTGATTACAGAATAATTTACACAGGTGGACAAAACCGAAAATTGGTATTAGCATAATTTTGGACCAAGAAAGAGCAAAAACATTAAAAGGGTACATAACAATATTAGAACAGTAGCTAATAGTTAAATTTAAATGCTAAATTAGTACATATGCATATTATACAAGTCTATGCACCAACTGTAGACAGCGCAGGAAGAAAGCCACGACTTTTATAAACAGCTCAGTGTAGCCTTAGCACAGTGTAAAAAAAGGGAAAACAGCTGTAGTGCTAGGTGATTTTAATGCAGAAGTTGGGTGAGAAAAGAAGGAAAACATTACAGGTGGAAATAGTATTGTGGAGAGAAATGAGAGAAGAAAAAGTGTTTGAATGGACAAGGGCACATAAAATGATAATCTGAAACAGTTTGCTGTCAGTAAAAACAAGACCAGGTGCAGACTGTAACAGTGACCACATACCAGTGGTTGGAAATCTAAAGATATAGCTGAGGAAACTAAAAAGGGCTCCAAGAAATACTAGGCTAGATTTGGCAGAGCTTGAATCAAATCAAGAAATGTTCAAGAGATACACCATCAATGTTTAAAAAAGATTCATTGTTATTGAAAAGATCAAATGCTAAAAGTCATTACAACATTCATCAAAAGAAATAATACCAGAAGTAAAGAAGACTGCGAAGAAGAAATTTTACATCTGATGGAAATTAGAAGAAAAAGTAAACACAACTAAGATGAATATTATAGAATAGATAGAGAAATTGTACGTAAAAATAATGCAGCGAAAAAAAGATTGGCTAAATAATGACAACAAAACTATAGAACAAAGAGAAAACATGAAAAAAAGATTGGCTAAATAATGACAACAAAACTATAGAACAAAGAGAAAACACGCAAGACATGTATAAAAGAATACAAAAACTATCCGGTTTTAGAAAACATACAGCAGGTAATTACTTGAAAACTAAACAAGATGAAATATTAATGGACAAAGAGAATGTTACTGAAAGATGGATGAGAGTATATAAAAGAGCTATATGATAACATCAGACCAGACATAGTCATGAATACTGGGAAGGGCCACCAATAGTGGAAGTGGAAGATGCTACAAACCACATGAAAAAAAAATGTAAATATTCAGGGCCAGATGACATTATTATTGAAGAATTAAAAATTGCTGGTGAACTAGGTATAAAGGTGTTGACAATATTGTTGAGTGATATTTATAACATTGAGTGATTTGATTCAAGAACCGACATCACAGCACTCGGGGCATTGCCATAAGCGCTCCGTCCCCATCTTCAGCAGCCAGCGAAGATGTCTGATACTAATGGTGCCAGTAGCATTCTAATTAAACGTACGTCTTGTCTTTCCTTTGAGCCTCGAGCATCTGCTGGAACCTCTCGTCACTTCCCCGTGCATCAATCTCACCAGACTGGGGATCCATCTGCTCCTCCGAACTGTACACGCTCTCCCACAAGGCTCTAACCACGTCTGCCTTTTCATGTATTAGTATTCAACCAAGTTGTGCAGAGCCAGCCAGTCTGTCTGCCTGTTCATTTTCCAATACACCGGCATTTCCCAGTGAAAAAATCCAGACAATACTTCTGTCCCATGTCCTCCGCAGTGAAGCATGCCACTCTGCACGAAGCATGCCTGTCCTGATATTCCTCAGCATGCTTTCTGAGTCAGTTACAATGACGATGTGTGTGTGTCGTGTTCTCTAACCAGCGAAAAGCTGCAGTGACCGCCTCCACCTCCATTCTTAAGCTGGATGTTGTGGTATCATATGCTAGGCTCTTCTGCCCCAAACGTTGACCATGTGATATTTATAACAATGGTCCTGGTGCATACCTTTACTAAATACACTTGGTGCAGTGGATTATGAAGAACATCAGGCAGTTTGATGAGTCATGTAACTTAAATATTAATGAGAATTGTCATGAGAAGAGCAGAATTAAACTAGAAATTGAGGAAGAGCAGTATGAATTTGTTTAAGGTAGAGGCAAAAGTAATGCCATGTTTGTCCTGAGAGCTCTTTCAGAGGGAGTGAACAGAAATCTTTGTTTTTGCTTTGCTGATTGCACTGGAGCATTTGATAAGGTGAAACATAAAGGGTTTGTTAGGAATTTAGTAACCTTTGTCTTCTTTTTGCTGACTGTTAGTCCAAATTCACAGCATGCATCAGCAAAGGCAGATTGTAAACATTGCAGCCCTTCCTCTGAGTGGGTGGTTATTGCAGCATCATCTGCAAACAGCAGCTCTCTGATAAGTACCTTTCTTATCCTGGTTTTGACCTTCAGCCTGTGAGCATTGTAAAGGCTGCCGTCAGATCGAGAATGAATGAATATACCACCCTCCTGATCTCTAAAGGCATATGTTAAAAGAAGTGAAAAGTATATTCCGGAGGGTAGGAGCAAGAACACACTCCTGCTTTACTCCATTTTAGATTAAAAACTCCGATATTGCACCCTCAAAGTTTATTGTACCTTTCATACCAGTGTGGAACGACTCAATAATGCTCAGCAGAGTAGGTGGACAACCAATAATCTTCAGTGCATTGAACGGACCTTTTCGACTAACCAAACAGAAGCCGCCATGGTGTCACGGCTAGATGCTCGCCTGCGGATCTGAAGGTCATAAGTTCAGCTCTGAGAAGAGCCAGACTTTTTTTTTCTAAAATGACCTTGGCTTCCGGGTCGACCTAACCTTAAGTTGGTGCCTATATAAGTCCTGGAATGTAAAGATGGCCAATGTGATGGTGACCACATCACCCACATAGTTCCGATTAGTCTATAAAATATAGGTCTAGTCATATATGTCCCATACGTCTGAAGCCATGAAAAAGTGTCCTTTTTACTGTATGCTGATGCACAAGTGGCATGAAAAGGGTCCTTTATTTGTTTGTGTATTATTTCAGATATTATATCAAACTAAGCTGCTGATTGAGGGTTTTTGTCGACTCTACGATTTAGAAGTGCCTCCAGAAGTCTTTATCTTGGATGAACATCTGTCTGCACGGGTAAGCATCAATCAGTCTCACATGTGGGCAGTTGATTGACTTAAAATATTTAAACACATTCATTAATGTAAATTACGCACTGAGGGCTTGTGTGGCTAAGAGTTTACAATATCCACCTCAAGCTAAGAAATTACTGGCTTCTAATCCTAGCATTTAGTTAGCACATTGGCAAATGTGAACCTCTTTTAACTACAGTGAAAAGGGGAAAAATTCAATGATATGGACATGTAATAGGATCTAATGGCCTCTCAAAAACAATACTGCAGGGCTCAGTAGAGGGAAAGAGGAGAAGAGGCAGACTAAGAAAGACCTGGTGACAGCACCTGACTGACTGGACAGGCCTCATGCATGTAACCATGAAGTCCATCGCAACTGACCGCCAAAGGTGGAGAGAGCTGATCAGACTGTCAACAGAAACTGGTGACCGAACGACATTTAGTGTTACTGAATGATGATGTTGAATCAATCCTAGCATAAGGCTGAGAATTTTTACTGTAGCCATTGGATTCAAATGATGTCACATGTCTGCACAATCTGTTTGGGTAGTGTGATCAGATTCCTAGCCTTCTCAGATGAGGCTGACAAACAGGAGGTTTGAATGTTCAGGTTGTGCATCTTATATTTTAAAAAGTAGGCCTTGAAGAGTATCTTACTGACAAAATAAATAAACTTGTCAAGTATAGATAGGACCAACAGCCTCTTGCTGGGAATAAAATCCGTCTCAGAGAAGTTTCTCTGACATAAATGCATACTGAGGGCTAAGGACACTGACCTCTGAGATGCATAACTACGTGTGACATATTATTTTCCTTCAGTTAACAAAAAAATTAAGAAAGGGTGAGACTTACTCAATGTTACTTATTTTGCACTTAGTTAATTAACGTTTTGTGAAGCACAAATACAATTACTTGTTAATTTTGACTTAAATTTTAGAATGTTGGAAACTTCATTTTCTTCCTTTTGCTGTAAACTCCAGTGGAAAGTTCTAGTTGTTCATCTTTCTCTGGACTTTAGTCTTGCTTCAGAAGCCGAGTGGTGCGTGCATATACATTTTATAAAGCTGACTTGTGTTTATGCAAGACTGTTGTTTCCTTCACCCTTGGGCAGATGTTCTCTGACTTTGAGGGAAGCCCCTCACCCCAATTACTCTCATTTTTCAACATGCCTTTTGGGGAGGCAGTGGGTCTGTTCTTGTTTTCCCCGCACTGGTGCCCAGGAACCCATATCAAGAGAATATTTTAAAAATAAATAGAGAGATAAATAGAGCACATTTGACATATCACTACATTAAATAACTGCTAATTTCACCAATCACATATACAGGGTATTGCAGTGAAAATGAATATTGATCCAGTTTCTGAAGATGAGGACGATGAAGAAGAGTTTCATTATGATATGGAGGATGAAGTTCAAACGTAAGTCTGGTCCTCATGTTTTATGTAATAATTGCTTTTTTGGGAGGTGGGTGAGTTGAAAGATTTGAGAGGACATGAGATAAATTGTCTTTTTTTATGCACATTTTGTAATTATTGAAGCATCGACAAAGTTCTTATGTCATCTATTTTTTTTGTAACATGTCTCATGCTGACTCCATGTCTTCCCCATATTATTCTTATGTTTCTCTATTCCTTTCTTAATGTGTTTTTAGGTCTCTTTCTATCTATTTTGTCCTGTAGATGCCCACACAGAGATGCTGTAGTTATATAGCTGCACATAAAAATTATAATCGTATTATAGTTCTCCTTCCCTAGCTTCCCCCTTTTCCACCCTGGTTTGTGGTCCTGGGTTCAGACTTATAGTAAAGCAAATTTTAAAATTGACCTAGCCTTCCCAGGTTGGCTTAGTGTAAAATGAGTGCCCATAAATTTCATGGAAAATAAGAACACTTGATTTTTGTTGACCACATCCTCCTATTGAGTGACAGTAAATCTTTTTTTTTTTAAATATAAAGCAGCACTATTTGCCAGATGCACCTCAAAAAATGAAAGATTGAGGCAAGAGATAGACAATGTCACAGGTGGGAGGACAACATCAAGAGATGAACAAACAGCCATTTTGAGTGTACAACCAAGACAAGAGACAGAGAATGTTAAAGATATATTGCAGCCAACCATTGTTGTGGAGACAGCAGCTGATTGATGTATGTTGATTTCCTGGGTGTGTTCCACGGTTTTATTTGTGGCAGAAAAAATTATTAGACCCACTGCTTCCTAACTAGCATATCGTAAATGGCGACTAATTTAAGATTTAGAATTATATGTGTTCAGCCAAAAGCTGCACACACACACACACACAAAACCTGGTTGTAAACTGCAACACTACATGCCAACCATCCTTTTAATGGCAAATACAGAAAGAAAAAAGAGTAATGGTGATTACCACATTGATTAACAACCGAGCTGATGCAGTAAACAAATTGCTAAGGTTATTGTATTCTGATGTTCACTAAATAGCAGGTTGTTCTTTTCCTCCATATCTGACAGAACTGAACAAAAGGCAAAAGATGAAGTGGAAGGAATTGATGTTGAGAATCTTGCTGTTTTAGAAAAGCTGAAGCAAAGTCAGCGACAGTCATACCTCAAGGTTTGAAGTTCTTTATGTTTGACTTTACATACAGGATCATGTATGAAATGTGCTCTGCTAGGGATTTGTTTCTGCACGCCACATTGCTGTATTGACGCACACTTAGTTGCTTTGACACACCAAAAATCAGTGTTCAGTTATATACCTTTATTCGCTGAATCAAACATCTCACTGACATTCTTTCGTCCTCGTGGTCACTATGCATGGCTGATTTCTGATGACCTGGCCAACTCGCTCGCACACTGCTTTGCTCTGTTCGTATCTCTCGAATCACACATCCATATCATACTAAAGCCTTGTACCTGGTATTAGTACATGTTGAAACTGGCAATCAGGAAACATTCATGTCTTCTCTCGAACAATTATACGTGGTCACAAGTTCTCCAATCTCATCAGGTGTTCATACGACATACGACCGCACTCATCCAGGTCCGAACTTCAACTGTCTTACTACCGTCTCTCGGTTCACGTCTTCCGTTCCAGTCTCACGCTTTTCTTGTATCCCTTATTCGCTCACCACGGGATACTCGAGACCCACTTATCTCGTTTTCCTCTTGTATTACTGGTCCTCTGACCTTGTCCTCCCCATCGGGAACTCTCTAGGATTTCCCAGGGAATTAACAACATTACAGTGTAATTGATGTTTTAAAAATAGTATCATGTGATTTTATACATAGTATAATGTGATTTTACATTTCGTATTATGTATGTAAGATATAAGTTCTTCTTATGTTCGCTTTCTGATCTACACCGAAAGAAAAGTTCTTGTTATAAACTTAACTGTTTTTTAGGAGTTTGCTTATGGTTCCATACAACTTTGAGTGTAGTGTTGACTCATTGGGCCAGTATTTCCTTGTTAATGGCCTGTTTGAGGGACATTCTTGCAGGACATGATCTGTAATCAGCACACAGGCCCACAGTAGCAGAGTGGTGAACTACTTAGATGAATCCTGTGCAAATGCAGGTTAAGTTTATGTCCTGTCCTGAGGCGTAGAATAATGACCTGCCTATGATGGACAAGTAAGTGGTAGTCATCTCTGGCCAGACTCTGCTCACTTCTGATAGACTGGATCACTCCTTTGTTTTCATAGTATGTTTTTGCAATTTCGTCCTGTTGACATTCTACCCCTTTCTTAGCAAGTTTATCTGTGGTTACGTTTCCTGATATACCACAGTGGGATGGCACCCACGGGAGTGCAGGACACTTTTGGGCAGCCACCTTGCCAAGTTTGGATCTCAGGTGATGGAGTTTACCACTCTTGAGGGCTTGGAGCACTGATAGCGCATCTGAACTGGTGTTGTGTAACATTTTTGCCTGCACTAGTGATAGGATCTCTACTGTGTACTTGGAACAGAATTCACACCTCAAGGTTTTAAGTGTTTAACTTTACACACAGGGATCGTGTAATTTTACACATCGTATCATGCGATTTTTACATATAGTTTAATGTGATTTTACATATAGTATTATGTATGTAATATATAAATAAACAGGCTGTATTTTCTTTTTGCAATAATTTTGATTTTATTACATTTTAAAAATTAAAAATGTCAGCAGAAAGTGAATTACCCATAATTTAGAAACATTCCTTTTTGTGGCTTGCACTCAAAAAAAAAAAAATGTCGAACGAATGGACCATGGGTGAAGATGACAGAGGTGTTTGGAGGCATTTGAGAATATTATAAATTGGTACTATACAGAAGGAAAACATTCTGTTTATGACTTCCAATAAGTGGTGCCTATTGCCATAATATGGCACAATATGACTTGTCTTAGTCTCATTCTGTTATTAATTTTTATGGTACATTTTCACCCGATATTATCCATAGACCTAATAGTTTAGTTACGTTATCTGCACTAAATCAATGCCGACAACTTTACATATATGTGGGTGGGATTCTTTCAATATTACTTCTTGCTGTAAAAGCTCAGTATTTTTCTCCGGTATCAACAGTTTTCTATGGTCCTCTCTTAATTTATTTCTATAAAATAAAGGAAAAATAAGAAAAGTCTTAGCAAACTCCATGTTTATATGAACTGTTATTAGCATGTTAATGTTAAGACAAGGTTTACTGTTGTTTTGGTTACAGTACTGTTTGCATTAGTTTAAAAGAAGTGTAAACCAAACACATATTTATTTAGTTGACTGGGCTGGCTTTTCATGTGTTTTTGTAAATATTTCAGCAGGGAACTGTGGTGGGTTCAGTCCAGGCCACTGACAGACTCATGAAAGAATTAAGGGACATTTACAGATCGGACAGTTTCAAAAAAGGTGGGAAAGAATCACTGCAGGTTTATTTAGGGCGTTCCTTCAACTAAACCTTGGGACAACTGACTTTTGTGCATATTTCAAATTTTTTAAAATTTTAATAAGTTGAATTTTTATTGGAATACACATAGACTAGATAAGTTTCACTTATTCATTGACTTCTGCCCTTAATCATCCCATTAACTCTTTAAGAACCAAGGAACTCACAGTTTGTTCATAGATGAATCAGTGTAATGTGCAGATTTCTTGACTCCTGCTGGCCAGTTCTTCTGTTATTCTGTTTCATTTGTTACTGTAAATGTATCTGTCTCAAGGCTGTATTTTTCAACCCTGCAAGTTAGTAAGCAAAGGACCATTTTCTGAGCCTTCGTGCTTATTGGACATATAGGCTATACCTGTATTTTTTGTACCAATCAGTACTCTGTGGGTGATGGGGTAAACATCACGCCAGCCGCCTTGACTTACCTGGTACCCATTTAAGGCTTCAACTCCATAAAACTTGTAGCGTAGCCTAGCTGTAAACTGCAACATAATCATCCTTTTGAGGGCAGGCTCAGAAATTAAAAGAAACATATAATAATTATTTTGAATTCTTGCTACTGGTATGGTGTTTGTAAACTTGAGGCCTCTAAATGTAATGAAATCTGAAGGAGTAGATTTTAACAGAAAATACATTAAGAGAACTGGGCACATTACATGAATTTAAGAAGAAAAGTGGATAAATGTAACACTGACAGCTTTGTTAAATCAGATGTGTTTGGTTGAAAGGTGCAGTTGAAAGCCTAGCAGTAAACCACAATATAATGTGCCTACTGCTCTTTTGAGGTTGTACATAGAAGAAGAAGATTGACAGCTATTCATTTACTGGGCACATGCTTTTGTACATAGGCAGTAACCAGTATCGCTTTAACAATGATGACTGCCAACAATATCTGTTCATTTGTTTTGTTTGTTTAGGGCTTTTAAGAATTTGTAATCATGGACCAGTATTTACTGCTACAGTCAGCAAACTAACGGACCATCTATTTAGTAGCTCACATTCTTTTACATACTTGCCACCCTTGTCTCTACGTAGTACCTTTTCTTGTTATAAAGTCTGTTGCAAATTGAAAACATCGTGTATAATATCAACATTTCTTTTTCTTTATTGCTGTTGCTATTACTGCAAGTATCTTTGTGTGTGCATGTTTCTTTTCTTCTGTAAAACTTCAGAATGAAGTAGATTTTAAAGTTATCTGTTGTAAAATAACTTTGAACATTTTTTTAATCCTCAAATTGAATGTATGCAAAAAATGTCAGCGTGAGGACAGGTGCATGCTGACACATTTGCAAGCACACAAAAACAAATTTTTGCGAGAGAAGGTAAAAGAGTCAGTAAAATTTTAAAAAATCCATTACAGAGCAAAGGCATAACAGGCATTTGATGCTAGGCTCATATTTTTGGAGACACATCAGCAGTTGATGCTGATATGATGTCAACGTCCTGACTGTCACCTTTACTTCCCAGAACTTTACCTGGTACCTGTTTAAGACTGGATATACCTGGAGCCGAAAGGGGGGGGGGATCAGACTCAGTCTGCATTCGGAGCCAAGACCCTTCGGCTGGCATTTAGCCTCTGTGCCACCGCAGCTCTGAGGTAAAAGTGTTGTATTTGAAAATTCTATACATTGAAAGAAGAAAACCCCACTTAATATTGGAAATAATTGTTTCTTTTGCAGAAATATACACAATTGAGCTAGTCAATGACAGTCTTTATGAATGGAATGTACGGTTAAAGAAGTAAGTTTTGCGTTAGTCTTATGGACATTATTGTGTGTTGTTTCATTTTTAGCAGCTTGTATTTTGGTTCTGTTAATGCTTGTTGTCAGTGTCTGCGGCTAAGGGGTTGTGAGCGCGCTTCATAATACTAAGATTCAGGTTCTTGTCCCACCTGCAGGCAATTTGGCAGCAGACTGCCTTGAATTGGTTTTGACAGTGTCATCAAGAGCTGACTGTTTAGAAAGCAGTGGCAAACATTTGAACATAAAATATCCCTCTAAACTCACAAACGGTAAAAAATTCTCAGGATGGTTCTGCAACGTCCTGTGAAGAATACACAGCTAACATAAATGCTTGTTAAGAATTATGTTCAGCACTGTTAGAAAAGAATTCCTGATTTTTTTAACACTACTTGTCTTGTTGTTAGCGGAAGTGTTGTTTCATCAGAAAAAGAAAGTTGCTTCTGTTTTGTATAGATCAGGCATTGACTGGCAAGTCATGTGTTGCGCCGCAATTGTTTGTATGATATTGTCTGTGTGTAGTTTATTCTTCTCACTTTAGCTGGCTATTGAACAAATGACTTTGTCTTCAATTTTCCTGAGTAGGTTTTGGGGACCCCCCCCCCCCCTTTTTTTGTGTGTGTGTGGGGGGGGGGGGGGGTGATAGATCCACTGCTCCCTAACACACATCCTAAGAGGCAACTAAGAATTTGCTGAAATCAAATGTGCTGGGTCATGAGGTGTGGATATCACAGCCTAGCTGTAAACTGTAACACCCATTTTTTTTAAAGATTATTGCAGAAGTCACCCTTGTAAATGATTTCTTTATTATTCTCTCATTCAGAGTAGACAAAGACAGTGCCCTATACACTGATATGCAAGTCTTCAAAGAGAAAGAAGGCAAAGATCATATACTTCTGAACTTTACCTTCAAAGTAAGTGAATGTTCATATTATTTTTATCTTTTTTTTTTTTTTTTCAGAACGTGGCGAGATTCTTGTTTGAAATAGCAAACCTTTTAATTGATTTCAGTCCCAAACAATGCATGATGTGATACTGTTTCCAACATTTGAAATGTCAAATCATCTTCTTGTGTTTAGTTTTTGGTCAGTGTATGCTAAATAAATCTGGCAACATTGGTGGTATCGGCTATCCTCCGAATAACAGTCCCAAATTATCCAGGCTGAAAATATACCCTAACAGGGCCTCGGTCACATGTCAATTGCGGACTTCTGCCGACTTAAATTGCGCACTTCCGGCGACTTCCGCCACCGCCGAGAGTATCTCACATGCCGCTACGCGCTGCGTAGATTTGGGCTAAACTAGATGGCTGGGGCTTATGAGCAGCTTCTCCTGCAGCTTCCGTTATTTTATTTGCTCGTGAGTCCCAGCCATCAGGTTAGTCCCAATCTACACCGATGCATCTTTCCCATTGCAACATATGCCTGTGAGACCTGGACACTTACTAAACAAGCGGAACAGCGCATAAATGCATTTGAATATAAATGTTACAGACAGGTTCTAAGAATATCTTGGGTAAAGAAAAGAACAAATGCATCCATACTTCAAGAGCTGAATATTGAAGAGGGTTGGCTAGTAAAGACAATAAAACAAAGAAAATTGAAATATTTTGGTCACTTGAAACGTCATAGAAGTCTAGAGAGAACAATAATGGAGGGGTATATGCCTGGGAAGAGAGGAAGAGGAAGGCCAAGGAAAAGATGGGTGCAGGATGCGGCAGATGATCTCCAGATGGGTGTATCAGACGCAGGACATCTTGCTCAGGATAGGAAGGTTTTCCGGAGGGTTGTTATGGCAGCGAGGTTCCGCGAGGGACATGCTACTGAATGAATGAATGAATGACAGGAAGTAGAACGAGTCAGTTTCACAATACTGCAGTCATTAACCCTCTTAGCACGGACGGGCCGATTATCGGCCGGCGGATGTCTGGCCAAAAACACGGAACGGCCGATGATCGGCCCGATCGTGTTTCGCCTCGAACCGCTAAGAAATCTCCTACTTTGAAACACTGAAAGTGATTCATTTATATTAACTGCGGTATCAGCTTTACACATGGCGACTTTCGAGTGTTTGGTATCGAAGTGAAAATTGTTGTTGAATTTTTTAGATAGTGACCTGAACCGCTAAAAGTATGTCTGACTCGTATGTTTCTGCCCCTAAACTTGATGTTGATAAAACATTTGAATCAAGTGATGACACTAATTCTGTTGATACTGATGCAGGATTTATGTTAGTAGTAATAGTGGGAATCAGATGGGGACGCTGTTGTGTTCAGACCACAGCCCAACTATGGCTCAGGGTATATCCACCCGAAGGTGTTGACACTCCGGCACATCCATTTCTAGTGCTGACTGATGGTGAAAAACACATGTCACCTAAAGATATTATTGCTGTTTCACATATATATACCTGTTTTAGACTATTGAATTGCTTACAACATTTGTAAAAAGGCCAAAGATCAATAAAATGATTTCAAATAAAAAAAATTTTTGTTTTTAGTTTTATGTTTCAAGCATTGAAGTTGAAAATTCAAATTCATATTTTCTATTTTTAGATATGCAAATGAGATAATTTGCATATACATCAATTAATTTTAACGATATTGTGAAAATCACGAACTTCAATCTATATCCTTCAAATAGATATATTATTTCATAGGGGTCAGAATAACAGAAATCTGTCAAAAAAATTAAATAAAGTAATAACCAAATTCACTGAAAAAATGCTCCGTGTTTTGGCTAGACCTCTGAAAAACTTCCCCTGCTAAAAGGGTTAACAAAATGAAAGTTGTCAGGTTAGAAAGCTTTCATCAGCAAATGACATGACACAAACTGACAGTGAGACAATTACAAACAAGAAAACATTAAATCACTTAGCTTTACAGTGAGGCCTGTCACAAAATCGCCAACCACACTTGAACCGTAGAAGCTCAGCATTGCACATCACAGGACATCATTGTTTGTACTGATAAAACATGGATTTGAGAAAACATATTTAACTGGCAAGTTATTTTTAAATGATTTCTGTTAAAGTTTAGAAACAAATCAGATTGGTAGTCTGGTGTTGAAGTCATCTGATCTTGGTACTCTGCTTTTTCCTCTTCTCATTTTTTTTTACAGCTAAGCTCCAAGACTGAACTTCAGTGTCCTTACCTTGATGTTTTGTCCCTAGCCCTGTGTTTCTCTTCCTGTTAGTTTTCTTCTTCAATACTGCTATATACACAACAGCCTTGGAGAATGTACTTGGCTGACACCAAGGGTAAGCCAAACACAACTCTGCAAGCACAAAGGATTTGCCACAAACTGTGATGTAAATTGGTAACATTTATGTTGATACCCAAGAATGAACAAAGAAAACAGTAAATCTGTTGTCTACACAATGAAAGTAGGCTACAGTAGATCTCCAGAACTCTGTTGTCTTAGTTGCTTATTCTATGAGACCATCTTTTAGCATCCCATTTGTATTGCTGTCTGCCTCTTGCTTGCCTGCCTTTAACTTTTCCCTCCAGCTTGATTATTATGTGTAGTGTCTTTAGTGGAAATAATAACAATAAAAAACAAGCAATATAATTTCCTGACAAACTGATGTTGTTTTTTTCTTTCTACATAGGAATCATTTCCATTTGATCCACCGTTTGTTCGAGTGATCAACCCGGTCGTGTCAGGAGGTTATGTCTTGGGTGGTGGAGCCATCTGCATGGAACTGCTAACTAAGCAAGGCTGGAGCAGCGCATACAGCATTGAGTCTGTTATATTACAGATTTCAGCAACTCTTGTCAAAGGAAAGGCTCGTATACAGTTTGGTGCAACAAAAGTAAGTGCTTCTCAGTTTATGTTAACCTTTTTGTCCAGAGAAGCCGAAAAAACCACTTGTGGTTGAGTCCAGTTCCCCGTAAATGTCATTTTTCCCAACTTGCCTACCATGACCTGTTTAGGAGATTTGTAGTTAATGCAGTTGGCTAAGTTTGTGCCTGCGCAAACGTTTAAAAGGTTATGATATTAGTAAATTAACTAATTCGCATAGAACGTTGGTCTGTTTTAGGCCCCTGGGGTATGTATCGAATGCTTATCCGCAGACATATTTAGAGGTAGTCCAGTTCATATATCTTTATGTATTTTGAAAAAAAAAACATTGATAAATACATCTTCAATTAATTTTAAAATTATTTTTATTCCTGTCCCAATGCAGGACGCAGTTTTTCATTATTTTAATGTCCCACCTCGGCTGTGGTTGGGGGCCCTAATATAACGTAACAGTTAAACGAGGTTATTCTCATCCAAATGATGGCACTTTGTGTCACCGGGTGTTGGTCGCTCGTTGTACGGTCCTGGTGGGGTTTGATGACACACACTGGGGGTCCCTAAAGGGCAAAGCCCTTTCTATGAGAGGAAGGCTCAATATACGCATATGACGATTCCTTGTATAAGCCCAGTACCAGAGTATCATGTATCGGCTCTGCACTTAGGGAATCCTCCTTGAATGATAGGGAGTGCCTATGCTTTGCCTCTGCCTTCCCCTAAGGGTCGACCAAGCGGCTGGCCTGGTTTGGGTAATCTAGAGACAACACCTGAGAAGGGGATGATGAATCGATCACATATGTGAGGCTATGAATGTCACACGAATCTAAATGAGAATGCTAACTAAGATAACAAATGCCCCCTGGATGACCGATGAAGAGATAACTCCTACATGTATAGTACTTAATTAAATTCAGATAGCCACTGAGGAAAATTGTAACTGTCATTTTAGATCTATTGCTTGTGTTATTTCTTGTTTGTCGAATGTTGATAACTTTGCAGTGTTAGTTTGGGAGGGAAGGAGGGATAGATCCACTGCCGCCTAACAAGCATGTCGTAAAAGGCAACTAATTAGATTTCTTCCTTCAAAGTCGGAGTACATCTGTGTGAGAGGCAAGCAACCAGCAGTCTGCATAGAAATAAGCCAGATCAGTAAAAGGATAATGCAAAATTCAAGTTCTGGAACAAGACTAACCCTCAAAAGTGGACAATCAACCTGAAATTTCTGCCACCAGTGTGAAGGCGAAGAAGTAGAGAATTCTGACAAGAAGCATTCTCTATCATATAGCATGGTGTTTTCTGTAAGTAAATGCATCACCTGTTATCTCTGTGTGAATTTCAGAGCCTCTTTGGAAAAAGGGTGGGGGCAAGTCAGAGAAGATACCTATTGCTCACTAACAAGCATGTTGTGAGAGTCGACTAAATAAGTGTTTGCTGAAATTGGATGTATTGGGCTGAAAACACAACACAGCATGTCAAATTCCATTTAAAGGGTGAGCATAGAAGAAGAAGAAATCACCTGCTACATAATTTTTTTACTTAAATCTGCTTGGTGAAAATAAAATAAACTATCCTGCCCCTCCCTCCCTCCTTTGCCCTTTTTTGTTTGCATGTCTGTATTTACCAGTAAATTATGTGTCATATATAATCTTCAGAGCCAGTACACACTTGCACGAGCCCAACAGTCTTTCAAATCTTTGGTACAGATACATGAAAAAAATGGTAAGTATATGTCTTTTGTGTGTATGGGTGTCTTCTTCTTCTCCTTTTTCTTCATTTACTGACTGTAAGCTGTGGTTGAAAGTCCTGGTTGTTCATCCAGTTGGTCTTTAGCTTTGTGTCAGAATAAAGTATACTTTATGATTGATTGATCGGCTTATCTGTTGTTGTTTTTTTTTACTTGATTGCGAGAGATCAGTTGAACCATGCTTGCAGAGTTGTGAGGGTGGGAATCTTATGCAAGTGTATGGTAATGTTTGGAGAGATGTTTGCTTATGGTAGTTGCTGTATTGTTTGCAAATCCTGAGGTAGACTGAGTTTTAATGAGATTGATGTGCCAGCATTCAGTTGGTCTAAAACCTAAAAGGAATGTGCATTTCTTTTTGAGTTAAGACTGGTTTAGGATCTTTTTCCCAACCTAGTGTCAAAATACCATTTCCGTGGAGACTGTTCGAGAGCTTTTCTTTTCTCTGTAAGCTCAGAGACAAGCAGCGTTTACTTTGACTGGTAATGGAAAATTTCAAACAGCAATGGAATATATGCAATTCAGCTAAGTTTACCCAGGGCCGAAATGTTGAAAATAGGGATCGTCATGGGCCAGAGGCCAAAGTCCCAGCAGAGACATCATTAATACAACAGAATCGGCAATGATTCACGGAAGGCTTTGAATAGCCATATATTGGGGTGTAATCGGATCGGATTTTAGAACAGTGGTTCCCAATTAGCTAAGACCTGCTGACTTTTATTTTCAAGGGTCTCCCATGGACCCCTTGCATTTTAAAAACCATGCGGTGGAAAACCGGTGGCGTCATTCATGAGCTCTCTTCCTAGTAAATAGGTGGGTAATTTAAAATAAAATAAAAATTCATTTTGCCATATAAGCCAGGATTCCCACTTAAGGACAATTATCTGTTCAAGAAAAGAATCCTAAGTGAAAAATTCATTTCTGGTTGAGAGTAAATGCCAGGTGACCCATAAAGGTGCATGGCCCTAAATTGATAGCCATATATATACTTGTACATGTATTTCTCCAGAACAGCAATTGAATCATCAACTGAAAACCATTTCCAAACATTTATTTTACTGTCTCATACACATCTTCCCGCCATCATCCATTAATACAGAAGATTAATAATGTATGCACAGGACAGCTAAACTCTTCCAGCACATTAAATTACTATCTTGTACCTTTCAGTTTCTACATTTACAAACACTCAGGAAAAATTATTACTCAGAAAAAGGAAAGATTTGATTTGATTTAAGAACCGACATCACAGCACTCGGGGCATTCCCATAAGCACTCCATCCCCATCTTCAGCAGGCAGCGAAGAGTTCCGATACTAATGGTGCCAGTAGCATTCTGATTAAACGTCCATCTTGCCTTTCCTCTGAGCCTCGAGCATCTGCCAGAATCTCTCGTCACTTCCCCCTTCATCAATCTCACCAGACTGGTGATCCATCTGCTCCTCTGAACTGTACACGCTCTCCCACAAGGCACTAACCATGTCTGCCTTATCATGTATCAGTATTCCACCAAGTTGTGCAGAGTTAGCCAGTCTGTCCGCCTGTTCATTTCCCAACACACCGGGGTGGCCCCGTGAAAAAATCCAGACAATACTCCTCACCTGTGTCCTCCGCAGCGAAGCATGCCACTCTGCGAGAAGCATGCCTGTCCTGATTTTCCTCAGCATGCTTTCTGAATCGTCACCAGAGCTATGGAGCACGTGCTCTGCGCTTAACACATTTTTCAGCAGTTCATGAGAGAGAGAGGAGGAGAAGACGACGAGGGAATGGGGAGAGAAGAAGGCGTAGAAAAAGTAAAGAACAACTAGGAACTCTTATTGATATGGAAGAAACTAGACAGCATTTGAAAAAGGTAGCTAGACAGTTATGTGAAAGCATCTTATGTTAGTGTACAAGGTGAGAAGAGGAGTTGGTCAGAGTACCAATGGAACAATTAGATTTGTGTTGTCATAAGCACATCGAGTGCAGAGAGTAGTGAAGGAGGTGCCTCAGAGTTGGAAATTTAGCTATTAATTCAAGATAATTCTCGCTGATGTGTGATTACTTATACAGATGATTTGGTGTCAGGAGGCAAAAAAAAGGTGTTTGGGGGTTCTTAGCATGAGCTTACTGGTCAACATTTGGTGCGGGAGAGCCTAGCATATGATACCACAAACTTCAGCTTAAGAATGAAGTTGGATGCAGTCACTGCAGCTTTCTGCTGGCTAGAGAACACAATATACACACACATCATGATTGCAACTGACTCAGAACACGCATGCTGAGGAAGGTAAGGGCAGGCATGCTTCATGGGGAGTGGTATGCATTACTTCGGAGGTCACGGGTGAGGAGCATTGTCAGTCTTTTCTCCAGGTGATGCAGGTGTGTTGGGAAATAAACAATTGGACAGACAGGCTGGCTCGGCAAAACTTGGTGGAATACTGATGCATGATAAGGCAGACATAGTCAACACATTATGGGAGACTATACAATTTGGAGGAGCAAATGGATCATCTCAGTCTGGTAAGGAGTGAAGACGTGACCTGTCCGATACTTGACATCAGAGAAAGCCAAGACGGAGGTATAATCAGACTGCTATTGGAACTCTGCTTTGGCTGCTGAAGAGGGGATGGAGCGCTTATGGTAATGTCCTGAGTGCTGTGATGTTGGTTCTTTAATCATCTAAACTCATTGTACAAATGTCATTTACATTGTAGACTGCACCAGTTTTGCAGATAGGCACCACATTGTCTTTCATCTTACTTCTATTCATGTTTGTTGTTTTCTATTTCAGGCTGGTTCACTCCACCTAAAGAGGATGGCTAGCACCGTTAGATGTTTATTTTTGTATTTGTCTGTTCATTTGAAAAAAAAAAACACATTAAAGCAACAATGTAAATATGCGGTTACCGTATAAATATATAATGTATAGTTTGTCAGTAATGGTGGATGTTTCAACAGTTGTCCTACACAAACCATGGTGGCAAGAAATATAAAAAGGCCTTAGTTCATGATTGGAAGCATTAAGGAAACAATGTTGAAGTTGGTTGGTGAACTGTGTGGGTTTGCGTTTGAATTTAGATAAGGTCTAGTAAAATATTTCTTTCATCATAAAAGACGTTTATCATGGGGGGGAAAATGTCAGATCATACTGAAAATGGACCTCTATCATAAAGAAAAAGTGAGTTTCTCATCACCCAAGACATTTGCTATCATAAAATGTGAGGAAATCATGCTGAAAGTTATTTTCTTTCATCTCAAACACATATATCGTTGGGGGGGGGGGGGGGGGAGCCAGATTGTACTGATAATGGACTTTTATCATATAAAAAAAGTGAGAGAATTGTGCTGAAAGTTATTTTTTTCTTTCATCAAAGGTATTTGTCTTAAAGAAAAAACAGGATATGCTGAAAATGAATTAATTTGTTTTCATCATCAAAGACATTTGTCATAAAGAAAAGTTTTTCTCATCATACAAGACATCTGATATAAAAGAAATGTGTGTTTCTCATCATTCAAGACATCTGATATAAAGAAATGTGTGTTGCCATGAAGAGTTAAAAAAAAATCATGCAGAAAAGAGCTATTTCTCTTCATTAGCAAAGGCAGTTGAAATGAAGGAGGGCATCAAGCTATAGAAATCATTGGCTTCTGGGTGGAATAGATCAGCTGTAAATAACTTGTACTGAAGTGACCTTAAGTAGTTCTGTGATGTATGCCTGAGATCACTGTATCTGCACTTTCTGCTGTTGTGTATATATAAGATTCACACATTCAAACATTCTGCAGCCTTAAGTTAATGTAAATCCACCCTCTGGCAGAATTATGCCACCCATTAACATAAGAAATTGTTGGGGGAGTATGGTGTAAATTACTGGTGAAAGTCACTATGAAAACTGTACACACAACTTATTTAGAAGTTAAAATGCTGTTTTTTTTTTTTTCCCCCTTTCTGTTTCTTAGTTGTTTGATTTTCAATTCCTTGTTTATCAAACAGATGCTTAGTAAAATAGATGTAAAGTTTGTTAAAAATATTGAACAAAATGTATTATTTCCTGAGAAAAAATAAAATGCCAGTTTCCCCAAACTGTGTTACTCATAATAAAACCAATTAAACTTCATAAAATGTCACCAGCGAATGATGATGCAGCAGATTATGTAAAACAGTAGCTCTCAACCTTCCTAATGCAGCGACTCTTTAATACAGTTCTCTCGTGTTGTGGCGACCCCCAGACAATTATTTTTCTTCATAACTTCACTGAGTGTGTTTTCCTGATGGTCTTAGTCGACCCTTGTGAAAGGGTTGTTCGACCTAAAAAAAAGGGTCGCACCCCGCAAAGGGTTGAGAACCGCTGATGTAAAAGCTATGCAGACAGCTGTTATTGATCATAGCTTTGTGACAGCTGACATAGTTTTGGTCTGAGAAGGTCTATGGTGGACACAGTATCTGAACAGAACAATGTAATTTTCTGTTTCACAGCTGCTGAGGAAGACAGAGTACCTGTGGGTGTGGCCGTAGGTAGTTTCTTTGACTTTGCTACAAATAACAGATTCATCATTATATTTACAAGAAACAGAGAATTTATAATTCAAGATTATGGATTGAGAATGTTACCTGTGTGGACAGGCGCCACAGAATACCGAAAATGTGCCGCAGACATGCTCTCTACGTGCAGTATAGATTCCAGGTTTAACCAGTTGGCATTCCAATGGAAACCAAGCTGTGTGGAATAGTGGGAGACATGCATTGCACCCACAAATTTCTCAGAGGCCTGTGGCCTTCTCATCTGAGAACAATTGCCAGGGAGAATGAAGAGAAGAAGAAGAGGACACTTTTGTATTTGACTGCTTAGTGAAACTTCACATTTCATTAAAAAGAAGCAGAATGAGAAACAGAAGAAGAAAAAAAAAAACTCACAAGTTCTCTATCCATATCTCGGAGTAAACTTAGTTGAATAGCACTGCACTAGACGTGCTTTCCTAAGGGCTTTTTGAGACACTAAAGTGTGTTCTCTTAAGTGTTGGAGACACTAAACAAAGTTCTCTTGAGTGTTTTTGTAGACACTAGTCAATGTGTTTTGTGTCATTTAAGAAAGTATTTATTTAAGTGTCAGTTTGAGATGCAAGACAGTGTCATTTAGGGCACTAGACAGGGTTATTTTGAGTGTCATTTGAAACACTAGACTGTACACTCTGAATGGCAGTTGACACAAGATAATGCTTTTTAAATGTCAGTTGGAAACAATAAAAAGTGGGATGTGGGTGAAAAATTAACACATGAGATCATGCTGTCTTATATGTGATCTGAGACACTATACAGTGCTGTCTTTAATGTCATCTGAGACACTATACAGTGCTGTCTTTAATGTCATCTGAGACACTATACAGTGCTGTCTTTAATGTCATCTGAGACACTATACAGTGCTGTCTTTAATGTCATCTGAGACACTATACAGTGCTGTCTTTAATGTCATCTGAGATACTAAACGGTGCTCTCTTAAGTCATATGAGACACTAAACAAGGGGGGGGGGCGGCGTTGAGCCGGAGGATTTAGGGCCACCTGGCTAGTGCTGTCGCCACGGACTGTGCTGGTTGGGGTATTTAATTTTGCCGGGGGTCAAACCCAGGTCTGCTGCATGAGAGCCATACGTTGTAACCACTTAGCCAGCCGGGGTGCTAACACCGGCACAAGACGATTACCAAATTACAGACAGACCAGAGCAAGTCATTATTCTGCAGTTTTGAACAGGACATAGTTGAGGTTGCAGCTACATTTACTAAAAATTTAAGATTTGCGAATCAGCCATGTGCACATGTGGTTTGACACCTGAGACAACAGATTACGACCTCCAAGACTGTCTCAAATACAACATATCAAGGCAAAACTTTTGATCAAGAGAAACACCGGTGCAAGCCAAACTTTACAGGTCGCTCAGTGAATTACACTGAAATTTGTACTAGAGATAACATTGCAGATATACATAATCTCTTTCAGGCGAACGAAAGAAAAAGAAGAATTAGTGGTGCTTTTATTATCTGTCCATGTCATTTCAAACATTCGTCTTTAGCTTGAGACAGTAACAGTTTTAACAGAATTTAGACCACAGACATGTTTGCAATACACTTACAATAATTCTGTGTGTTGTGAGTGTATCAGCGAGACAGTGATTCCTATTCTGGTGAATTGACTGCTGCATCTTATCACTGGTTCATAGTGTTGTTGGAACTTGAGTTCCTGTATAAACTTCTGTAAATTCTCAGCAGTGTTTATTTTTGCTTGTTCAGCCATTTGTATTTTTTTTTTTTTTAGATTGAGAACTATTGAATATGTATTATTTATATTACATATCTTTGCATGAAGTATATTTTTTTTTTTTGGGTTGTTGTTTTTTTTCCCTCCCTCTCATCTGCCTCATAAATGGAAGATTTTAAAAAAAAACGTACCGCTTACAAAGGATATTTATGCAAGGAGTTCAAGGCTACCTCAGCCAGAAAGATGTTGAATGTGTCTGCCAAAAAAGAGCAGATGACTCCGCTGTAAACAGGCACAGTGCAGTTACACTCAGAACTCTTTACTGCTCATATTTTCTATTCTCAGAGGGGTGGGGCAGAGAGATCTTCAGCCTGGGGATTAGGGGAAAAGGGGGCGGGGGTTAAATATTAAGCTTGTGCAGGCTAGGAAATTTTTTTTTTATATTAAAAAACAAACATAAAAATGAAAAGTTAGTGAAGACAAATGTAAACTTTCATTAATAAAAGGAATGTCCTTTTAGTGATTGTCTTTACATTATTTAAAGTTTTTTTTTTTTCAAAAACTGTTTACAGTGTAAGACATGATATGACAGCCTGATGCATATATAATGAAGACAGTAATTTGTTTCAAACGTTCACTGCTGTGACCATAACAAATCTGTGCTGCAGACATGCTCTCTACATGCATTCATCAAGTAACAGAAAGTGTATTGATCGGCACTCATAGAAAGAAGTAGAAAGATAGAAGAACACACTAGACAACATAAAAATCGAAAGCTATAGTTACTGTGCCGGGAATTGAACCTGTCACCTCCAGACGGCGTCTTTACCTCGCCATGGATATAAGTGCACTAAGAACGTGGTCAACCAGGCACCCCAAAAAAAGGTGTCTTATTGGCCATGTCTATCGTACAGCTAGAAATGAGTGCCGATCAATACACTTTCTGTTACTTGATTAATTCATAATATTTAACGGTTCCCCCTCTTGTTTATTTTCTCTACATGCAGTAGGCAATCTCAAGTCTGGCCAGCATGCATTTTGTTGGAAACCAAACTGTATGGATCAGTGAAAGACGTGTCACACCACAGCCTTAATTGAGGCTTTTAGCTTTCTCACCTGAAAAAAAACTGGCAGAGAGAATGAAAAAACAAGACTGGTGTGACCAATAAGAATGTGAATAACATATTTCAGGCTAAACGGCATTTATATTCAACTTTACTGAGAGGATATATGCTGTACTTGATTTTAAATAATGTTATGAAAACCCACTAGCATACACAGTAATTAGTTCTTAATAAATTCTTTTTTTAAATGTATAGTTTGGTACATAAATAGGCTAGCAGGTATATATTGGTTTGTTCATCCAATATTTAATTACCTAAATATGGCAGGTATGCAACTGTCTTTTGTTGTTGTTGTCATTCTTATAACTTGTTATGGCACAATATTGGTATTACTGCCATATGTCCAGTTGAAAAAAAAAAATAACATCTTTATGCTCTTTTGCTTCCAGTAATGTTACATTTTATATGTATTTCTTTTTTTTTTTTTTTTATTTTAAATATCTTGTTT